TGGGGCTTGAACTCTGGGCCTGGGCGCTGTCCCTCAGCTCTTCAGCTCAAGGCTAGCGCTCTACCACTTGAGCCACAGCGCCACTTCCAGCTTTTTCTGCTTATGTGGTGCTGAGGACTGGAACCCAGGGCCTCGAGCATGCGAGGCGAGCACTCTACCACTGAGCCACCTGCCTCGGCCTGATATGAAAATTCTTAAAGACACCCAAGCAGAAACTCTCTCCCTTCGTGCTCTCTCCTCCCTCCGTGTCTCTGTCTTTTTCTATTTCTCATCTCTTTTCTTTCTCACATGAAATAACCAAAGAGAACTCTTTCCTCTCTCTCTCTCTCTCTCACACACACTCCAGGCCTCATGTCGATCCTAACGTGTCCCTGGAAGACAGAAAAGTCTAGAAAACACAGGTGATCTTCCCCGTGGCGTGAGACAGGAGGGGCTTGCATGGTACGCGTGTAGTTCCGGCAGTGCTCGGTCAGCGCGGTCTCTGGGGGACTGGCGAGTCACTGTGGGGATGGGAGCGTCTCCATCCCCCTTCTAGAACACCTGGCCGGCTTCCTCCTCCCGCCTCCTCCTCCCCAGGCAAGGCCCAGGCTGGCCGCGCCCGGCTCTACTGGCCTTCCCTTATCTTCTTTATTTTTGTGCCAGTCCTGGGACTCGAACTCGGGGCCTGGGCGCTGTGCCTGAGCTCTTTTGCTCAAAGCAGGCGCTCTACCACCTGAACCACAGCGCCACTTCTGGTTTTTGGTGGTTCCTGGAAGATCACGGTCTCGTGGACTTTCCTGCCCAGGCTGGCTTTGAACCCTGATCCTCAGATCTCAGCCTCCTGGGGAGCTGGGATGGCAGGCAGGAGCCGCGGGCGCCTGGCTAACAGTTATTTGTTGGGTCACTGCCGGCATCAACTGTATTTTAGTTAATTGAAGCAAGAACATAGATTATGTTGATTTTTTCTAAGTATTCCTGATGGCAAGTAGTGACACAGAAACTTCTGAGAAGAGGAACAATCAAAAGGAAGAGTTTAGAGGCTGGGCAGGTGGCTCAGTGGTAGAGCGCTCGCCTGGCATGCATGAAGCCCTGGGTTCGATTCCTCCTTCCCACAGACACAGAAAAAGCCAGAAGTGGTGCTGTGGCTCAAGTGGTAGAGCGCCAGCCTTGAGCCAAAGAAGCTCAGGGACAGCGCCCAGGCCCCGAGTTCGAGTCCCAGGACTGGCAGCAAAAGAAAAAAGAAAAACACGTGAAGAAGGCAGACGGTGGAGGAGAAACGGAGGGGAAAGCGTGGTGTACCATGGAAGGTGAGTAGGGTCAGGGTCCCGCCCCAGGGGCCTCGGGAAGCGGAAAGGAGGCTGCAGGATGAGGAACTTACACACACGGCTGGCAAGGAAGCAGGTGCCCGCCACCAACCACGGCCTCAGGGTCCAACCGTCTCTTCTCTCTGCCAGACAGACAGACACCAGCCCTCACCAACCAGACAGAAGACAAGCCAGGCACCCCAAGACACCAGAGCAAAGAAGAAAGCCAGCCATACCACCCTACGGCCGAGCCTGGTGGCTCACGCCTGTAATCCCAGCGACTCAGGAGGCTGAGATCTGAGGATTGGAAGCCAGCCTGGGCAGGAAAGTCTGTGAGACACTTCTCCCCAAGGAGCCAGCAAAACAGCCGACGTGGAGGTGTGGCTCAAGCGGTAGAGCACCAGGCTTGAGTGGAAATAGCTCAGGGACAGCGTCCAGGTAGTGAGTTCGAGACCCTTCATAAATGCAACCTTCTTCCCAAACCATTTCCCCCAGGCCCCACATCCATTTATTTTCTTGAGTTGCTCCTAGCGTTGTTTGGATTTTCTTTTTCCTCTTTCCTTACCATAATTTAAGGTGTATATTCCACCTCAGAGATTCATTAATCACACACACACACACACACACACACACACACACACACACACACACACACACACACACACACACACACACGGCGCAAAATCCCAGTAGATCTTGAGTATTTCCTGTCTTCTTCCGTCCAGGACTTCCAGATCGAGAAGCAGGAAGTGTTCCTTCCATGGCCAGTGAATCTATTCTCGTCCCCGCTCTCTCTCTCCCGCTCCATCTCTCCCTCTTCCCCCCCCAAGAGACATCATCTCACCTCATGTACCACGGCACCTAGCACTGCCTTTATCTCCAGAAATCACAACAGCAAGGCTTACCTCTGCCTTGAGCTTCACTCTCTGGCACCATTCTGTAGTTTGAGGTTCCCAAGAAATTCTCCTGTCTTCCTGAGGGTGGCACCCCCAGTCTGGACCAACCAACACAACGCAGTCTGATTGGCTCACGAGATCGCCCAGGCTAACTATGGAATAAATGACAAAAGAAGCCAAGTTGCCAGCGATTTAAAGAGGAGAGATGAAAGAGGAAATTGAGAAAGTTCCTCACCTTGTTCCTGAAAACTCCAACCATTCCCCTCCTTCATCCCTAACGTGCCATTAAACCTGCTAGGAAAGAGAATGTTGTATGGACTCAGAAAAGACACACTGGGCCAGGCACCGTGGCGCACACCTGTAATCCCAGATACTCAAGACGCTGAGATCTGAAGATAGTGATTTCAAGCCAGCCTGGGCAGGAAAGATGCCATGAGACTCATCCCCAGTTAACCATTTGAAAAACAGAAGGGGCTGGGCAGGCGGCTCAGTGGTAGAGCGCTCGCCTAGCATGCACGAAGCCCTGGGTTCGATTCCTCAGCTCCACATACACAGAAAAAGCAGGAAGTAGCGCTGTGGCTCAAGCGGTAGAGCGCTAGCCTTGAGCAAGAGCAGCACAGGGACAGCGCCCAGGCCCTGAGTTCAAGCCCAGGACTGGCAAAAAAAAAAAAAAAAAAAAGCATTTCTTTCTGAGCTTTATACTTTCATATTGCTTTTTTTCCCTCTTATTTTTATTGTACATTTTCCGTCTAGGCAAGAAATAGTTTATTTGGCTTGTCATTTCATTAGAGAATATTCAATGGGCATGTCTCTTGTGAAGAAAATTGAAGGTATGTGGCATTAAAACCACCATCAAACAGTGAAGAAGCCGACGATCCTTGTCAATTCAAGGTGGGCACGTGACTGAAGCTGGGCACCAGCGCTCACACCTGTAACCCCAGCTACTCCGGAGGCTGAGATCTGAGGATCAAGGTTGAAGGCCATCCTCGGCAAGAAAAGTCTGGGACTCTGATCTCCAATGAACCACCAGAAAACCGGAAGTGGTGCTGTGGTTCAAGTGGTAGAGCGCCAGCCTTGAACGAAAGAGCTCAGGGTCAGTGCCCAGCTTCAGAGTTCAAGCCCAAGGACTGGAGTGCGCGCACGCACACGCGCGCACACACACACACACACACACACACACACACACACACCCCAAAGCCAGCTGTGATATTTCGTTTCCTGAATAGGTAGAATAGAAGGAATAGTTAACATTGACTTGAAAATACAGGATTAAAAAAAGAATTGTTTTGGAAAATGAATTAATACACCTTGTGAGTGAGGCAGGAGCGAAAACCTGGGAGAGAAGACATTGTCCAAAAAGAACTGGACTCTTACGTAACTGTAATCCCTCCCCACGCCACCTTTACGGTAAGTTTTTTTCGGGGGGGGGGGGGAGGGGTCAGTGGTGGGGCTTGAACTCAGGGCCTGGGCGCTGTCCCTCAGCTCTTCAGCTCCAGGCGGGCGCTCTACCCCTTGAGCCACAGCGCCACTTCCGGCTTCCTGAGTGGTTTATTGGAGGCCAGAGTCTCACAGACTTTCCTGTCCAAGCTGGCCTCGAATCTCGATCCTCAGATCTCAGCCTCCTGAGTAGCTGGGATGACAGGCGGGAGCCACCGGAGCCTGACATTATCCTAAGTATTTTTTGAAGGTATGCTAAAAGCCAACATTACACTGCACAAGCAGGACGGGTACCAGTTGAAAAAGTGAACATTCTTTGCGAGAACAGAGTGTCTGCCCGTGTTGGTCTGCGGTGGAGGAAATCATGCAGGAGAAGCAGAAGTGGTCGGCTGCTGGGATCCGCGTCTCCACTTCCCATCAGCAGTGGAGAAACAGCAGCCCGGCACTGAGTCATCTGACTTTCGGGGCCCAGCAACCCGCACGGCTCTGCGCTTCCCTCCATCCCCAACTTATCTTCCTTCTTCTTGCTTTCTGGTGTTTTCTCGTCTTGTTTGGTTTTGTCAGTCGTGGGGCTTGAACTCGGGGCCTGGGCGCTGTCCCTGAGCTTTTTTTACTCCAGGCTGGCGCTCTACCACTTGAACCACAGCACCACTTCCGGCTTTATGGTGGTTCATTGGAATAAAGAGTCTCATGGAGCTGGGCACCATGGAGCTGGCTCACACCTGTCATCCTAGCTACTCAGGAGGCTGAGATCTGAGGATGGTGGTTCAAAGCCAGCCTGGGCAGGAAAGTCCGTGAGACTCTTATCTCCAATAAACCAGAAGTGGCGCTGTGGCTCAAGTGGTAGAGCACCAGCCTTGAGCTGAAGAGCTGAGGGACAGCGCCCAGGCCCAGAGTTCAAGCCCCAAGGCCAACAATAACAACAACAAAAAACCTAACTATGTTAGATAATGGGTAGGTTTATTAAACTTAATTACGTTTACTAGTCAATCATTTCACCGTATAGCCGTGTACTGAGGACGCTGTAACTCAAATACACACAATTTTATTTATCAATTATACATCAAAAAGCCAAAGGAAGTAAAACAAAACGGGTTAAGGGAAGGAAACTCCTATCAGTGAGTAACCCCTAGCACTGAGAAATTAGGAGTTTCTTGTGCCTTTGCCCTGTGCACACGAGATTTCCAGATTGCAGACAGAATCCTCAATAAAGCCGCAGGGCAACCATAGCTCACGCCTGTCATCCCAACAAGATCTGAGGACTATGGTTCAACATCCAGGCTGGGCAGGAAAAGTCCGTGAGAGTCTGATCTCCAATGAAGCTGCCAGGACACTGGAAGTAGAGCCGTGGCTCAAGTGGTAGAGCGCCAGCCTTGAGCAGAAAAAAACCTCAGGGACAGCGGGGCTCAGACTGTGAGTTCCAGCCCCACCACCGACCAAAAAGCCAAAAATGGAAATGATGAATACCGACACAACACCACGGGCTTCGCTCACGAATAAGATGATCCAGGAGCCATCAGTGAGGCGATCATAGATAGATGGCCTCCATCTCACAAATGGAGTTCTGAGGGCTGCTACAGTGGATGTCGTTCCAGCCCCATCCTGTCAATCGTGGATTGTTTATCACAACACAGGCTTCCCCTGGGTCACTGGGTTCACCTCGGCGCCAGAATCTGAAAGGGAGGAAATGGCGGAGGGCTAGTTCTGTAATTCTGCCTTCGTTTTGGTTTGGTTTTTGGGGTGTCGGTCCCGAGGTTTGAACTCGGGGCCTGGGCGCTGTCCCTCAGCTCTTCAGCTCAAGGCTGGTGCTCTATCCCTTGAGCCACAGCTCTACTTCTGGTTTTCTGGTGGTTCATGGGAGATCAGAGTCTCACGGACTTTCCTGCCCAGGCTGGCTTTGAACAGAGATCCTCAGATCTCAGCCTCCTGAGTGGCTGGGGTGACAGGTGTGCGCCACGGAGCCCGGCTGATAGTTTAAGTATGTAAATAAAGGGAGTCGTCTGCACTCACGTGGCGCTGAGGTTGTACGGCGTCTGATCCACCCACTGCCAGTCATTCTCATGGTTCGGGTCCCACAGGCCCAGGTAATAAGCGAACCGATCATTCAGATGCTGGATGATAAAACTCTACATCAATTAAGAATAAATGAGAGAGGTCCTAGTGTTAAGAGGACGCACCTTAATGGGATTCTTTTTGGTAGAACCCCTCTTTTTAAATTGTTGGGTTCCTTCCGCCCCCCCCCCCCACCCTCTCTTTCTCTTTGGTGGGAGTACTGAGATTTGAACTCAGGACCACACTTTCTGAAGGAATTCACTGCACCTTGGCGTTAGCTTCTTTTACAAATCTGGCTCTATGCTTTTTGTGCTGGTCAACCTTCCTTCCCCCGCATTCCCAGCGCAGCTGGGATTACAGTCATGTGCTACTATGTCCTGTGTGTGTGTGTGCACACACACGCACACACATGTGCTAGTTTGGGGATTTGAACTCAGGACCTCGGGCTGTCCCTAAGCTTTTTATCTCCAGGCAAGTTCTCCATCACCTGAGCCACAGCTCCACTCCCAGCTTTGGGGAAGTTTTTTGGAAATAAGAGCCTCCCAGACTTTCCTGCCCAGGCTGGCTTTCTACCTGGATCCTCAGATCTCAGCCTCCTGAGAAGCTAGGATTATAAGCGTGAGCCACTGATGCCTGCCTTTATTTTGCCAGATAGGATCTGGGTAACTTTCGGCCTGGTCTAAGAGCAAGGACAGCAGACCAGTAGGCCAGGCCGGGTTATTACTTTCATTGTATGATTTTGTGGGAGCATAAGGTGATAAATTGATATGTACATACAGCATACCAACAATCAAAACTAGATCAGTAACATTTCCATCTCTTAGCAATTTATACATTTTAGATTAAGCAAGGTGCTGGTGGCTCCCGCCTGTCACCCCAGCTCCTCAGGAGACTGAGATCTGAGGATCACGGTTCAAGGCCAGCCCAGGCAGCAAAGTCCATGAGACTCTGATCTCCAATGAAGCACCAGAAAACCAGAAGTGGTGCCGTGGCTCAAAGTGGTAGAGCGTTAGCCTGGAGCAAAAAAAAAGAGCTCAGGGACAAGTGCCCAGGCCCGGAGTTCGAGTCCCAGGACCAGCACACACACGCATTAGATTAACAGACAATGGGGCATATTCTGTGGGGAGAAAGTACCTACCTGCTCTTCCTTGCTGTTCACCACCATCAGATGCGCCTGCAGACCAGAGCACATCTCCTTGCTCTTCTCCCAAGAATTTACATCACTAGACATGAAATAGCAGTGGGAATTAAATTGTTTCCACTTCTGTGGGCAACAGCTCCAGACTTTTCCTTCATTGGGGAAAAAAAAATGTTCTGTAATTTCAATGTAAGATCAGCTTGGAAGTGTAGGCTAAAAGCCCAGGGCTGGTGGCTCACGCCTGGAATCCCAGCTACTCAGAAGGCTGAGATCTGAGGATCCTGGTTCAAAGCCAGCCCAGGCAGGAAAGTCCATGAGACTCTGATCTCCCATGAACCACTAGAAAACCAGAAGTGGTGCCGTGGCTCAAGTGGTAGAGCGCCAGCTTTGAGCACAAAGAGTTCAGGGACAGCGCCCAGGCCCTGAGTTCAAGCCCCCGACCAACAAATATTAAGTTTGAACAATATGCAGCATAGTAAAATAGCTGAGATATGAGAGCAATGTCCAGCTTGACCAGAAAGTACAGATAAAAGCAAAGGCAGATGGAATTCATCCAAAAGCAACCCAGCCTGCCTTCAGTCATGCCTTGCAGGGACTGCTCGAGGTGCCTAACAATTATAGTAACCACACGTGTGTGGACAAACGTGATCACAAGACTCCAATTCTCAGGATCTACCTGAGAATCCAACTGGAGAGGCTGCTTAGGATCTTTACGCAGTGTACTCAGTGATGGATTCTAATGGGGAGGCTGCTTAGGATCTTTACACAGTGTTCTCAGTGATGGATTCTAATGGAGAGGCTGACTTGGGATCTTTACGCAGTGTACTCAGTGATGGATTCTAATGGAGAGGCTGACTTGGGATCTTTACGCAGTGTACTCAGTGATGGATTCTAATGGAGAGGCTGCTTAGGATCTTTACATAGTGTACTCAGTGATGAATTCTAATGGAGAGGCTGCTTAGGATCTTTACATAGTGTACTCAGTGATGGATTCTAATGGAGAGGCTGACTTGGGATCTTTACGCAGTGTACTCAGTGATGGATTCTAATGGAGAGGCTGCTTAGGATCTTTACGCAGTGTACTCAGTGATGGATTCTGGGCGTGTTAAGTTTTACCTCCCATGGACGCGGGACTTTTTATACACTCCAGTTGGGTGTGGGTCAGCTCTGTCGCAGCATGGCGTTCTTTAAGCAGCTGAGAATATTTCTGAAAAAAAACTGAAAGAGAAAAGTGAAAACCCCCCTGTTCCTGCAGACTGCTTTCTGGAAACAGTCTACCCACGTTAATCATCTGAGTCAATGCAGCGCTGACCATATTGACTTTTTGGGGTTTTTGGTCATTCGTGGGTCTTGAACTCAGGGCCTGGGTGCTGTCCCTGAGCTCTTCAGCTCAAGGCGGGCGCTCTACCACTTGAGCCACAGCACCACTTCTGGTTTTCTGCTGGTTCATTGGAGATCAGAGTCTCACAGACTTTCCTGCCTGGGCTGGCTTTGAACCACAATCCTCAGATCTCAGTCTCCTGAGTAGCTGGGATTACAGGCGTGAGCCACCAGTGCCTGGCTAATTGCTGAGGCAGAAAATTCTTTGAGACTCTTCCATCCGATGAACCAAAAAGCTGGAAGTGGAGCTGAGGCTCAAGTGGTAGAGGGCTAAACTCAGAGACAACACCTAGGCCCTGAGTTCAAATCCTAACACTGGCACAATTGAAATTTTCAGCTCCGATTTCTAGCTAACACCTTTGTTAAATGTCAGTTTCGGAAACCTGAACTTTTCTTCGTATAAGGTATACATCACTTATCAATCTGATTGGCATACTTACTGATAAATAAAACCAAGAATAAGATTGCCAATAGCAGGAAAAATGTCACCAGCGACGCAAACAGCAGCGTGGAAACCCCCAGACTGCTTGGCTGGGCAGTGGCTTTTGCTTTGGGAGCTGCAGGAAAAAAAAAAAAGCAGAGTTGTTCGGGAGAAATTAGTCCTTCCCTTATTTCCTGCTCCTCCTCCTTGCCTCTTTCTTCCATGACACTGAGTTTCCAGTAATATTTGAAATAAACAGGAAGAAAAGAAGGACGGTGCTCATTTAGAAACTCCACAAAATGCATAAAAGCCCAACTTCCTACCCAGGAGGAGAAACCGCGTTAGCATTTGATATATACCCTGTAGACAAATGTTGGAAGTGTCTATGCAGACAAGGTGTAGTAGCTCATACGTGTAATGCCAGCTACTCAGGAGACTGAGAAAAAAAGAACATAGTTCAAAGCCAGCCCAGACAGAAAATCTATGAGTTTTGTTTTTTTTTTTTAATGTGTGTGTTGGTCCTGGGGCTTGAACTCAGGGCCTGGGCACTGTCTCTGAGTTTTGGGGGTTTTTTTTGCTCAAGGCTAGCGCTCTACCACTTGAGCCACAGCACCATTGCTGGCTTTTTTTGGTGGTTAATTGAAGATGAGACTCTTATAGACTTTTCTGCCTGGATTGGTTTCAAACACGATTCTCAGATCTCAGCCTCCTGACTAGCTAGGAATACAGGTGTGATCCACCAGTACCTCACCATGAGATTATCTCCCCTTAATCACCAACAAACAACCAGACTGGAACTGTGGCTCAAATAGTACACACACACACACACACACACACACACACACACACACACACACACACACACACACACACACACAAAGTACCACCAGGCACCAGTGGCTCATGCCTGTAATCCCAGCTATTCAGGAGGCTGAGATCTAAGGATCGTGGCTCAAAGCCAGCCACAGGTAGGAAAATCTATGAATTTCTTATCTCTGGTTAACTGTAAAAGACCATAAAGGAGCTTCTAACACTAATATTGAGCAAAAAAAAGTTAAGGGACAGCACTCAAGTTTCAGCTCTAATACCGACACAGAATAAAACACTGAGCCCCCGCCCCAACCCCCTTCCTTTTACCTTGTGGCGCATCTGCTTTGGGGTTGGGGGGCCTGGAGTGGCTGTTGAACCTCACTTCGGCGTAAGTGATCTCTGAGGCCATGTGGACGCCCGGGGGGGGATTCCTTCACATCTGTCGCATTGTCTCGGTGTCTGCTCGCAGAAGAGGCCACGCACGAGCGTGTGCAAAGTCCCCTCTGCCCCCTCTGCTTCACCCAGATGTGGTCAGAACCCAGATGTGGTCAGAAGTGCTCGAGGCAAAGCGCCCCCCCACCCCTGCCCGCCACACGGAGAATTCCACGTCACCGCTGTTCTCGGCTGAACCATTATGCAAGTCATAGTGGGAACGGGCAGGAAAGAAATAGGAAGGAAGGAAAAGGGGAAGCTGGCTCTTCACCGGAGAACGGGGTGCTGAGACCCCCCACAAACACCACGCTCCTGTGGGCTCCACAAAGCAGAATGACCCCGAACACCCAACTCACCCGAACACACACGCGCTCAGAGCCAGTCAGCTGCATCCGATTTCACTGGTCAGGTAACTTCTGGAAACTTCTAGAAAGATCTAGAAAGATCCTTGACTCAAAACACAGACGGTGAGTCCTCAGCGGAAAGGCAAAGTAGGTGTGTGTGTGTGTGAGAGAGAGAGAGAGAGAGAGAGAGAGAGAGAGAGAGTCAGGGTTCTGAGGCTTGAACTCAGGGCCCGGGCACTGTCCCTGAGCTCAAGGCTGGCGCTCTACCACTTGAGCCACAGCTCCACCTCCACTTCTGGCTTTTTTGCTGGCTCATTGGAGATCAGAGTCTCACAGACTTTCCTGCCCAGGCTGGCTTTGAACCCTGATCCTCAGATCTCAGCCTCCTGAGTAGCTGGGATTATAGGCGTGAGCCATGGTGCCTGGCTCAAAGTAGATCTCAGTCCTTCTCAAACTTCTCCTGCATTTCCTTGTGATTCATAATTAACCCCAGCATGAATATTTAGTTACTGGTCAATTCCAGAACTCCTGGAAGCCGCTCTTTATTAGCTGCTGGAGTACGAAGAGGAGCAGGAAGAGAAAGAAGAGAAAGAGGAGGAGGAAGCCGGGCGCCAGTGGCTCCCGCCTGTCATCCCAGCTACCCAGGAGGCTGAGATCTGAGGATCACAGTTCAAAGCCAGCCTGGGCAGGAAAGTCTGTGAGACTCCAATGAACCCCCAGAGAACCAGAAGTGGCGCTGTGGCTCAAGTGGTAGAGCGCCAGCCTTGAGCAAAAGCTCAGGGACAGCGCCCAGGCCCCGAGTTCAAGCCCCAGGACTGGGGAGGGGGGGGGGGCGGGAAGGATACAGGAAGATGACCCCTGCGGGGTACACTGAGATCCTTCGAGACCCTAGCCCATGTCTGACTTATACCCTTGGGAGAGACCGAGCTGCAGTCACGGGGGGGCTGGAGGGGGGGGGGGGGAAGAGGGGGAATCGCTGAATCACCCCCCTGCTTACAAAACACAAGGCCGTCACAAGATCTACGTGTACAGTCGGCTCACTGGGATTTCCCGACCCTGAACAGACTCTGAAGTTTAAGGGTGATCGAGTGGGGGACCCCAGCCTGGGCTAATTCCAGGTCACTGGTGATGAACATCGTCAGAGCCAGGTCTGGCGGCTCACGCCTGTAATCCCAGCTACTCAGGAGGCTGAGGTTGGAGGATCGTGGTTGGAGGCCTGCTGGGGCAGGAAAGTCTGGGACTCTTTTTAAATCTCCAAGCTAGCGCTTGCCTTGGATGAAAAAACTCAGGGACAGCACCCAGGACCTGAGTTCAAGGCCCCACAACCAACAACAACAATAAACAACTGACAGCTGGGTATTTTTCCCAAGCTTGCCGTCCGCAGGGCCAGCAATGGCGCTGACGGTGCGCCTGCCCTCTGGTGGCCACAGGCTGACCTGCAGCCAGCCAGGCTCCAACCTTACTACTCTAACTCTTCCCCTTCATGAAGGAGCTCTTCCTGCATGGGTTCACACGTGTGGGCAGACGGATGGACGGACAGACGGATGACCTTCATATCTAGGTTCTGCCAGTGAGGGAAAGCATGCACTCTTCAGGCGCTGGTGGCTCCCGCCTGTCATCCCAGCCACTAAGGAGGCTGGGATCTGAGGATCGAGGCTCAAAGCCAGCCCGGGCAGGAAAGCCTAGGAGACTATTTTTTTTTTTCTCCAAGAAACTATTCAGGGCTGGGCAGGTGGCTCAGTGGTAGAGCGCTTGCCTCACATGCATGAGGTCCTGGGTTCGAGTCCTCAGTAGCACAGGAAAAAAAATAGTTAACTTTAATCACAAGGCCAGAGCCCCAAACCAAACAACCACAAGCACCAAGTACTTGCACAAGAAAAGCAGCAGCGGCACCGTGTTTCTGTGTTTTAATGACCATTATTGCACCGATACACGAACGCGCTATGTACACACATCTTACACGCACCCTCCCTCCTCAGCAGCAGCAGAAATACACATCATCATCTTGGGAGTACAAAGCACTTGGGGGGGGGGGGTCCCAGAACTTCAGTCCATACGTAGTGTTTGTTCCCTGTCCCGTGAGAGGCTGGACCCAGGGGGTGGGGGGGAGGACCTGGGGCTCAGGGGTGCAGCCTTTGGCCAAGTGTCTCCGCGCATTAGGACAGCGATCTGCCCTCCGCTCCGCTCCGCTCCGCTCCATCAGGCCCAAGCCACGGGCAAATGTAAACCAGTGCTTGGGGGGCCGGGGCTGCGGGAACTAAGCGGAGGTGCGGAGCAGCTCGGCAGGCGCGGGGAGGGGGGGGACACAGCCAGGGCCCCCCGCGCCCTGGGAGGGGACCCTGAGCCCCGGGGGGGGGGGGGGGGGGGGAGGAAGGCGAGGCTGTCCACTCGTGGAATTGCTAGCCGGGGGCCGAGATGACCAGCGGGGAACGGGGGACAGGGGATGGCGGGGTCCCCCTGCGGCCCGGCAGGGAGCAGGGGTGGCGGAGCCTGCAGTCACGCAGCGAGGCACCAGCCGAGGCGCGGGGAGCCACGGGACTGCGCACGGCCTGGGGCCCCTGACCCCCGCACCAGCCGGCCCTCAGGTCGCCCCAACATGTCCTGCCTGCCTGACGCCCGTCAAAACTGGACCCAGCTGGCTGGCTGCGGCGCCTGGCTTGGAGCGGAGCTGCGGAGACAGGAGGCCCGCGGAGGAGGCCGTCACCGGAGGCCGGCGGAGAGAGGCCAGCGCCTCCGCTCCCGCCCCCACTGCCGCCTCGAACCTCGAACCCACCACCCTTCACCAAGCTTACCTGCGCAGGCCCCAACAGGGCACTCAAACCCCACCAGATGGCTGGCTGGCTCCCCCTACACACCTCTCCCTCCCTGGAACTCCTCTGCGATCTGCAAAGCCCGGCCTGGCAGACCCACTTGGTCAAGGGCCCAGAAAAGTGCTGGGGACTCGGTGCTACCTGGACGCGGTGCTGAAATCTCCCCATAGGTCATTGCTGGTGGACGCTGGCGCCGGGGCGGACGTGGTGGCGGACGCGGGGGAGTCCAGATCTAAGAGGATATCTGCGAGGCACAAGAGGAAAGAGAAAGCGGTGAAGAACCAGAACCACCTTGGGGAGCGAGGCCTGTGCCCCAGAACCTCGGCCGCTTTGTATGTGACAGCCCCAAGTCAGGAGAGCAGCAGCCAGGCCCGCCCCGGGGGCGGGCTGCGTGGGCAGCTCCGCGCAGTGGAATACCACTCAGCGAGGAAAAAGGAAAACTAGACGGCAGACTAAGTTCACCTAAGAGGGAAGAAAGAAATCCATCTTCTGTTCCTGAAGGCACAGACGTGCGGAGAGTTGGGGAAGAAGGCTAGGAAAGAGGGTGGCTGCTGAGTGGCCGGGATTACAGGCGTGCGCTACCAGCACCTGTCTTACCAGCACCTGTTAGACAACTCTGGGATTTATTTCACTTTTTTGGCACCACTTGAGACCTGAATTTAGGGCCTCTCTGCTAAGCAGCCAGATACACTAGGTTCTAATGGATGCTTCTCTAATCTTAAGAGAATGCTGGTGTTGTTTTCCTAACCGCTTCGGCGAAGTTATGGAGCATGGTGTACTCACGCCTGCGATCCCAGCTCCTCAGGAGGCTGAGATCTGAGGATGGTAGCTGCAAATCAGCCTGGGCAGCCACGCCCGTGAGACTCACCCCCATCGACCACCAAAAAGCTGGCAGTGGAGCTGTGGCTCAAGCGGCAGAGCACCCGTCTTGAGTGGAAAAAAAAACCCTCTGGGACAGGACCCAGGCCCTGAGTTCAAGACCCAACACCAGCACCAGAAAAAAAGAAAAGGAAGACTCAGAACTGGTATTTGTGGTCATTCCAGGGCGGCAGACGTGGCTCAAGCAGCTGGCTAGCAGACACAAAAGCCCCGAGTTCGAGTCTCAGTACTATTTTTTTAAGGAAAAAGAAGACTTCTCGCTGGAGGTGTGGCTCACGTGGTAGAGAGCCTGCCTGGCACCAGGGAGAGGCGAGTTCGAGCCGTGACCATGGCCGCAGCGCCCCCACGGACGGGAAACACGAGCTGGTCCTGGAGGGAGGGGGAGCGGGCAGAGGAGCGCAGGCTTGCGCTGGCCGAGCCCGTGCCCGGCCCCAGCGCCCACAGCAACGCACTGCGGTAAAGGAGCAGCTGCGGAGCGCCGGAGGCGGGGCGGGCCCTGGGCAGCAGCCCGGAGTTCTGGGTTGGCCGGCACCCCCGCCCCTCCCGGAGCCGCGCCCGGCCCGCCGTACCTGCGTCGCCGCCTCCGCGCGGGGTCTTGGGGACGGGAGGGGGCGTGACGTGGTTGCTGATGGCCGCGGACGCGGGCGGGGGGGCGGCCGCGCGGCCTCCGGGCGGGGGGGGGCAGGAGGCTCGGCCCCCCGGCCCCCGCGGGCCGGGGCCTGGAGGCGCCCCCCGCCTTCCTGGTTGTGATGTTCTGCACGAGAGGGGGGGGGGGTGAGGGCGTGGAGCCGGCCCGCGCGGGGCCGCGGGGCGCGGGGCCGCGCTCACCCCGATGCTCAGCTTGATGGTCTGGCCCTCCTTGAAGCCCAGGTCCAGCTTGGGGCGGCTGTCCACTGCCTGCGACTCTCTGGAGATCTCCGATTCCTGCCTCACCCACCTGCGGGGAGAGGGCGCCGGCCCTGAGGGGAAAGAGGCCAGGGGCCGAGCCCGGGCCGGCGCGCGCACGGCCGGACGGCAGCAGCCGCGCGGTGCGGCCCGGGAGGAGGCGGCGGGGCGCAGCTGGCCGGGGCGGGGCCTCGGGGCGGGGCCTCGGGGCGGGGCCTCGGGGCGGGGCCTCGGGGCGGGGCCTCGGGGCGGGGCCTCGGGGCGGGGCCTCGGGGCGGGGCCTCGGGGCGGGGCCTCGGGGCGGGGCCTCGGGGCGGGGCCTCGGGGCGGGGCCTCGGGGCGGGGCCTCGGGGCGGGGCCTCGGGGCGGGGCCTCGGGGCGTCACACCGCAGGCCTGGCTCCGGAGGCCGGGGCGGGCGGCAAAGGCCGAGGGACTCTGCGCTCCACGCGCCGCGGCTCGGGGGCAGAGCGCCGGCCCGGAGCGCGGGCTGAGGAGCGCGGGGCTGAGGGCCGGGGCCGGGCCCGGGTCCGAGCCCCGCGGCGGGCCGGGGCCACTCACTTGAAGTGGTCCTGCAGGGACACGTTGAAGTCGAAGGCGTCGCCCCGATCCGAGAAGCCGATGCCGATGAACGCGCTCCGCCCTGGGAGGAAGCACAGCGCCACACTGAGCATGCGCAGACGCCGAGACCGCGCGCTGAGCATGCGCAGAAACTGAGACCTTGCGCTGAGCATCAACACGCTGAGAACGAGGACTGAGCATGCGCAGAAACTGAGACCACGCGCTTAGCATGCTCAGAAGCAACGACCGCGCGCTGAGCATGCGCACACTGAGAACACGCACTGAGCATGCGCAGCTGAGGGCGCACACGCTGAGCTGCGCGTGGGCAGCTGCCGGGCATGCGCAGACACGGCCCCGGAGGCCACCCGCAGCCTGTAGCTCGACCCCGACCCCCATCACAGAGCGCAGGCAAAGCCCGCCGCGCGGCCGATCTGAGCAGAGGCCGCGGAGCCCGCTGGGCGCGCGGCGGCCCCGCCTGTGGCCCCGGCTCCTCGGGAGGCCGAGGACGGAGGGTCGCGGCCGGAGGGGCGAGCGCCAGGGGCGGCGCAGCCTCGATGCCACAGCCGCAGCGGGACGGGACGCTCCGTGCCAGTGCGCACCCGACGCGCCCCCTCCCCCGGTCCGCGTCCCCCCTCCCCCCCCGTCCGCGTCCCCTCCCCCGTCCGCGTCCCCTCCCCCCCGCCCGCGTCCCCCTCCCCCCCCGCACCCCCTCCCGCCCGCGTCCCCTCCCCCCCCCGCGTCCCCCCCCACCTGTGCCATCCTGGATGCGGATGACGAAGTAGCGGCTGGAATCCGTCACCGTCTCCACGGCGATGCCCGGATACTGCTCCACCGGCGCCTGCGCGAACAGCTCGCCTGCGGCCGAGACACGCGTCGGGCGGCTGCAGGGCGGGCGGCCTCCACCCGGGACCCCCCCCCCCCCCCCCCCCGCTGGAGGGCGGGCGGCCTCCACCCGGGACCCCCCCCCCCCCCCGCTGGAGGGCGGGCGGCCTCCACCCGGGACCCCCCCCCCCGCTGGAGGGCGGGTCTGGAGGCAGCGGGGACCCCCCAGCCGCGTTACCTGACACCCTGTCCTCCAGCTTGATGTAGGCGACCTTCCCCTTGGAGGTGACGCGCAGGCGGCCCGTCCAATCAGGCTGCTCCAGCTTCCAGTCAGACGCCCTGCGACGCGAGACCGATGGGACGGGGACTCGGCCTCAGCCCGGCGGCGCCCCGCGGCTGCCGCACTGCCGCCCCGCCCGCCCCGGGGCTGCCGCACTGCCGCCCCGCCCCGCCCGCCCCGCCCGCCCCGGGGCTGCCGCACTGCCGCCCGCCCCGCCCCGCCCCGCCCCACGCACTAACTGATCAACTACCGGAACCCAACGCAGATGAACGGACGCGACTGCCGGACAGACAGCCATTAACCAACCAATCCATCTACACATATACACATAGATGTCAAAGCGTAAATAAAAGCAATAAAAGCCCGCGCCCCAGCTCCTCAGGAGGCTGAGATCTGAGGATCGGGGTTCGAGGCCAGCCTGGCCAGGAAAGTCCGTGAGACTCGTCGCCAACGAACCCCCAGAAAACCAGAAGGTGGCGCTGAGGCTCAGGTGGTAGAGCGCCCATCCTGAGCTGAAGAGCTGAGGGACAGCGCCCGGGCCGAGTTCAGCCCCACGACCGACCCCCCCCCCCCAAAAAAAGCAATCAAAAATACAATTCCTTGGGGCTTGGGGTATTGCTCAGAGGTGAGTGCTTGCTGAGCTCACACAAGGCCTTCGGTTCAACCTCCAGCACGCACGCACACACATGCACACAGATGAAGATAAAAAAGCCGGGCATGGCAGTGCACGCCTGTCATCCATGCACTCAAGGTATCCAGACCAGGAAGATCATCTGGAGGCCAGGCTGAACCGCACAGCGAGACCCTGGCTCGAGAGACTAAAAAAGAAACATTTAAGTAAGCGTAGAGCTCATAGCACAGCTCAAGGGACAAGTCACTTGCTGGACAAACTGCAAGGTTCTGAGTTCAAACCCAGCACCGACCCAAAAACAAAGAAAGATGACGTCGTTCTCGTGCAGATGACTAGCAGTGTCCTTAACTGCTTTATTGCGGGGACCAAGAGAGCCCACCTAGCACGTGGAATATCCGGGGACGAGAAGCCATCCCGAGCGACCGGAGCTCACCCGTCTGCGTGCAGTCCTTTCCCAGCTGCAGCGCGTGTGGAGGGCCAGGGCTACTTCGGGCAGAAGGCCGACCACAAGAAGCAACCGTGGTCAACATAATTAGTATGGGAGAGGGGTCTAAGCCGAAGGAGGGGGGACATGAAGGGTGGTGGAAGGAAGTTTGGGAGGCCAGTGGGAAGGGATCACCTGGAACATTCTAGAAGATGCTCAGGGGAGTGAAGACACAGCCAGTGGCGGAACAAGGCTCTGGATCCCCTCCTCAGCACCGACCAAAGGGGAAGAAAAAAACAACCTAGCCGAGCACCTGCCGCTCACCCCTGCAGTCCTGGCTGAGATGTGAGGAGCAGGATTCGAACCCGGCCCAGGCAGGAAAGTCTGTGAGACTCTCATTTCCAATTTAGCAGCAAAAAAGCCAGGAGTGGGGCTGTGGCTCAAGTGGCGGAGGCCTAGCTCTAAGTGAAAGAGTTGAGCAAGAGCACTCAGGTCCTGAGTTCAAGCCCCGGTGCTGGTGCAAAGAACTAAATACAATGTAAGAAGGAGCGCAGTGAGGATGAGCCCCATGAAGAAGCTGAAATACGTGCGCCGGGCGCTGGCGGCTCCCGCCTGCCATCCCAGTTACTCAGGAGGCTGGGATTGGAGGCTCGCGGGTCAAGGCCAGCCCGGGCAGGAACCTGCCCACGAGACGCTGATCTCCCATGAACCACCGGAAAACCGAAAGTGGCGCTGTGGCTCCAAGTGGTAGAGTGCCCGCCTTGAGCGCCCAGGCCTTAAGTTCAAGCCCCAAGACGGGCAAAAACGAAGAACCTGAACTAGGAGCAAAACATAAAAGAGCAAGCGAGGGTCACCCAGGGACAGCTGCGCGCAGGAAGCGCGAGCGAGCGCAGGCGTGGCTCACGGGAAAGCGCCCGGCTCGGCGCAGAGTCAGAGACAGACAGACGGACGGACGGACAGCCCGCCCAGGGGCCCGGCGATGCCATCGCACAGGGACACACGCGCAGGCGTCCTGAGCTCCAGCGTTCACTCAGCTAAACAAGCGCCTCCCGGCTCCACACAGCCAGGACCGCGGTGGACACCTACACGAATCATGGGAGGGAGGAAGGTTTACAGAATGCACACACACACACAGAGACAAAATGCATGGATGGACGGTGTGTGTGTGTGTGTGTGTGTGTGTGTATGTGTGTGTGTGTGTGTGTGTGTGTGTGTGTGTGTGTGTGTTGGTCCTGGATGGATTATGGTGGATGGATGGATAAGATGGGTAGATGGATGGGTGGAGAATGGATAGATGGAAGGGTGGATGGGGTGGGTGGGTGGGTAGGTAGGTGGATGGATGGATGGATGGATGGATGGATGGATGGATGGATGGATGGGTGGGTGGATGGATGGGTAGATGGATGGGTGGAGAATGGATAGATGGAAGGGTGGATGTGGTGGGTGGGTGGGTGGGTAGGTGGATGGATGAATGGGTGGGTGGATAGATGGAAGGTTGGATGGGTGGATGGGGTGGGTAGGTGGATGGGTGGATGGATGAATGGATGGATGGATGGATGGGTGGGTGGGTGGAGAATGGATGGATGGATTGGGTGGGTGGGTGGATAGATGGATGGATGGATGGGTGGGTAGATGGATGGAGAATGGATAGATGGAAGGGTGGATGAGGTGGGTAGGTGGATGAGCGGATGGATGAATGGATGGGTGGATGGGTGGGTAGATGGATGGATGAATGGATGGGTGGATGGGTAGGTAGATGGATAGATGGATGTGTGTGTGTGTGTGCGTGTGAACTCGAGTCCCAGGATCGGCACCAAGAAAGAAAAATAGACAACCAAGTGCAATATTAATGTAGCTAATGGAGGAGGGTAGGGATGAGTAAAGAAACAAAACGTGTGCTGGGTTGGAAAACCATTTTCTCCCGACTCCCAGGGCTCTCGTGAGCCCAAATGTCCCCTGTGGGGTCTCCAAGCCTCCGAGTGACAGTGCGCGGGCTCCAGCTGAGCAGGTGCCTGCGGCCTCGGTCTCAGGACTCACTCCAAGGAAGGCCAACTGACCCCAGCTCACTAAAAGGCCCGTGTGCCCCCCAACATGGCAGCCCAGAGACTGCATCACCCTCCAACTGTACAACAGGTTCCGATGGAAAACAAGGATTATGCAGACAAAAAGAATAGCGGGGATCAGGGGTGGAGCGCTTTGCAGGGCACGTGCACTTTGGGCTCAGTCTCCAACAGAGTCGGAGGATCAAAGGTGTGCTCCAGGCTGGCCCTGGGTTCGATTCCTCAGTGCTACACACACAGAAAAAGCCAGAAGTGGCGCTGTGGCTCAAGGGGGTAGACACTAGCCTTGAGCAAAAGAAGCTCAGGGACAGCGCCAGGCCCCAAGTTCAATAACTAAAAGATAGATAGACAGACAGACAGACAGACAGACAGACAGACAGACAGATAGATAGAGATCGATTGATCTTCTCCATGTCTACAGAGTAGTATTTATAAGCACTTACTAAGTAGTTGGAAAGTAGTTACTAAGTAGTTAGAATGTTAATTGTCACTAGGCATGTACAAGATAACATTTGCCAATCTATACCATGCTTTTTGTTTGTGTGTTTTTGCCAGTCACAGGGCTTGAACTTGGGGCCTGGGCGCTGTCCCTAAGCTCTTTTGCACGAGCCTAGCACTCTATCATTTTGAGCCACAGCGCCACTTCTGGTTTTCAGGGAGTCTCATGGACTTTCCCGTCCGAGCTGGCTTTGACCACGATCCTTAGATCACAGAGTAGCTGGGATTACAGGCAGGTGTGAGCAATTTAGGCTCCTTCTTGTGGCAATCAAATGGGAGGATCTTGCAAGCTAAATGTTGCTGGTTCTATTTTTTTTTTGTCAGTTGTGGGGCCTGAACTCTGGGTCTGGGCGCTGTCTCTCAGCTCTTCAGCTCAAGGCGAGCACTCTACCACTTGAGCCACAGCGCCACTTCGGGCTTTTTCTGCTTATGGGGTGCTGAGGAATCGAACCCAGGGCCTCATGCATGCAAGGCGAGCGCTCTACCACTGAGCCACCTGCCCAGCCCCTGGGTCTATTCTTACAGATGCGCAAGTGAACTCAGGTTCTGTGTAGTCCAGCAAAATGAAGTTGCGAGGCAAATGTCAACTCTGCTTTCCTAATGCTCTCCCCTAAAAGAATGACTGATGACGATACACCGTCTCCTGCAGGGTAAGAAGTGTCAAAAAATAAGCATGGGACACAGGGGATGATGATCAGAGAGGAAAAGAGGCAGAAGAAAAATGAAGAAACTGATGACTCAATGCAGTTGAACTGCTCCAAGGATAAAGCCTGTGGCTCAATTAAGATGTTCAAGCAGAGCCGGTGCCGGTGACTCATGCCTGTAGTCCTGGCTACTCAGGAAGCTGAGATCTAAGGATCAAGGCTTAAAAGCATTTGGGTGTGGGACTTGAACTCAGAGCCTAGGCACAGGTGCAAGTACATGAGACTCTGATCTCCAATGAGCCACCAGCAAACCGGAAGTGGCAATGTGGCTCAAGGGGTAGAGCGCTAACCTTGAGCTGAAGCGTTCAGGGACAGTGCACAGGCCCAGAGTTCAAGGCCCACAACCGACCAAAAAAAAAAAAAAAAGTCTCTGGGATGTTCCTGCCTGGGCTGGCCTTGAACTGCGATCCTCAGGTCTCAGCCTCCTGAGTAGTTGGGATGACAGGCGGGAGCCACCGATGCCCCCTGCTGCAGACTCTCATCTCTGATTAACTACCAAAAAAAAGCCAGAAGTGGAACTGTGTGGTTCAAATAGTATAGAACTAGCCTTGAGCACAAAAGCCCAGGGACAGCGCCTAGGCCCAGAGTTCAAGTGCCCAGGCTCCCATTAAAAAACAAACAAACAAAACCTATATAGCTGTTAACTATCCAAGATTCATGCTCATAGCTCAACACAAATACAGTAAGTTCTCTTCTCAGTCACTGGATGACAAAGGCCCTACAGAGAAAATGCTGCCTGAACTCCAGAGGGAAAAGTTAAATTAGGAAGAGAGGGAGGGAGGGAGGCCTAGGAGGAAAATCCTACGTAATCAAGAAGAATACCAGGGCTAGAGAGGTAGTTCTATAGTAGAGCCCTTCCCCTGGGTTAGATAATCAGCTCAGGGAGTCGGGGACACTCAGGAAAGAAAAGATAACGAAAGCAAACATCCCAGATAAGCACTGGAAAGCATGACTCTACCTTTGCCCTCTGGAAAAAACAAAAAACTGAACACGGATCAGACGCTGGAGGCTCACGCCTGTCACCCTAGCTACTCAGGAGGCTGAGATCTGCGGACCAAGGTTTGAAGCCAGCCCAGGCAGGAGAGTTCATGAGACTCTGATCTCCAATGAACCACCAGAAAACTGGGTGGTAGAGTGCTAGCCTTGAGCCAAAGAGCTCAGGGATGGCACCAAGGCCCCAAGTTCAAGCCCCATGACTGGAAAAAAAAAGGGGGGGGAGTAGGGGATTGTCAACATCTAGTGCGCTGGGGTCCCTGGGTAAGGGTCACGAAATCACCAGGACACAGGGGATGCAGCGTGCAAACAGCAATTGCCACTGCATGCTGTGCTTTATTGTTAGTGGGTGTTTAAAGACAAGCAAGCATGATCTTTGCCAAGATTTGGTCAGAAGACATTCACACAAAAATTTCAACAGATACATTTTTACTTAACCTATGAGACAAGGTCCAGGTATATTATTATCTAAACTATTTTAGAGCACGCTCAAACCACTTCTCCAATCTCAGGAAAATGCTTGACCAGCTGCTCATCTATGCTTAAGCAAGCAGAAGAGCTACTTCCTCAGCTCCCAGGAGTCTGTGACATGTGTTTTGAGAGAGGGAGAGAGAACATTTTCCCTCTCTAGCCCGGCATGCCAAGAGCTTTCCTAATCCCAAACACAGTCCTCAGATAATACTCAGGCTGGAGCCTGCATCATTCTGCCCTTCAACATAGACCCTGAGTCTTCACAGGGGATGATAGAAAGAGATTAAGTCGGATCAAACAGTAGCCAGCAACACAAGAAATACCCAGGATTGGGCAGATGGCTCAGTGGTACAGTGCTCGCCTTGCATGCATGAGGCCCTGGGCTGGATTCCTCAGCACCCCATAAGCAGAAAAAGCTGGAAGTGGCGCTGTGGCTCAAGTGGTAGAGCGCCAGCCTTGAGCTGAAGAGCTGAGGGACAGCGCCCAGGCCCTGAGTTCAAGCCCCATGACCACCACCAACAACAACAACAAAGAAATTCCCCAAAGTGTGTGTGAGGTATTGAGCATGTGTGTGGTGTCTATGTGTGTATGTTTAACTGTGTAATTGTGTACGACATGCATGAAACTTATGCGTGTGTAGGCATGAATGTGAAAGGTTGTGTGTGTGCATGTGAGTGGTTGTGAGCACGTGTGTGCACTGCATGAGTGTACGTGCGTACGAATGTGGACAGTTGTGCGTGCACTGCACCAATATCTGTGCATGGACATGTGCACGCATGTGTGTGAAGGCGCGTGCACAGCCAGTGTGCATGTGCATGTGTATGAATGTGTGTGTGAATGTGAGTGGTGGTGAGCTCGTGCGTGCACTGCATGAGTGTACGTGTGTACAGCTGTGTGTGTACTGCACCAATGTCTGTGTGTGGACATGTGCACGCATGTGTGTGAAAGAGAGGGTTATGTGTGCGTGTGTATGAATGAGTGGTTGTGAGCACGTGTGTGCACTGCATGTGTACGTGCGCCATGCGTGCATTGCATAGGTGTCTGCATGGACTGTGCACGCATGTGTGTGTGAAGTTTGTGTGCATGTGCGTGTGTATGAATGTGTGTGCAGGTGTATGAATGTGAGTGGTGGTGAGCACGTGTGTGCGCTGCATAAGTGTACGTGTGCACAAATGTGGACAGCTGTGCGTGCATTGCACCAGTGTCTTGCATGTGCGTGTGCACGCATGTGTGTGAAGGCGCGTGCACAGCCGGTGTGCATGTGCGTGTGTGTGTGAATGTGAGTGGTGGTGAGCACGTGTGTGCACTGAGTAAGTGTACGTGTGCACGAATGTGGACAGCTGTGTGTGCATTGCACCACTGTCTGTGCACGCATGTGTGTGAAGGCGCGTGCACAGGAGTGTGCATGTGTGTGCATGTGTGTGAATGCGAGTGGTTGTGAGTGTACGTGCGCTGCGCGTGCATTGCACCGGTGTCTGTGCACGCATGTGTGTGAAGGCGCGTGCACAGGAGTGTGCATGTGTGTGTGCATGTGTGTGAATGCGAGTGGTTGTGAGTGTACGTGCGCTGCGCGTGCATTGCACCGGTGTCTGTGCACGCATGTGTGTGAAGGCGCGTGCACAGGAGTGTGCATGTGTGTGTGCATGTGTGTGAGTGTGAGTGGTTGTGAGTGTACGTGCGCTGCGCGTGCATTGCACCGGTGTCTGTGCACGCATGTGTGTGAAGGCGCGTGCACGGCCGGTGTGCGTTGCACTGTGTGCGTGTGTGTGCGTGGGGATGTGCGTGGGGGTTGTGCAGCCCGCGGGGGCGGGGCGTCGGCGGGCGCGCCCGCGCATGCGCGCTCGGGCCAGGCGGGGGCCGCGGGCGAGGGGGGGGGGGCGCGGGCCGGGGGGGGGGGGGGGGCGCGGGCCGGGGGGGGGGCGCGGGCCGGGCCGGGGGGGGGGGGGCGCGGGCCGGGGGGGGGGGCGCGGGCCGGGGGGGGGGGGCGCGGGCCGGGGGGGGGGGGGGCGCGGGCCGGGGGGGGGGGGCCGGGGAGGGGGGCGCGGGCCGGGGGGGGGGGGGGCGCGGGCCGGGGGGGGGGGGCGCGGGCCGGGGGGGGGGGGCGCGGGCCGGGCCGGGGGGGGGGGGGCGCGGGCCGGGGCGGGGGGGGGGGCGCGGGCCGGGGCGGCGCGGCGCGGGCCGGGGGGGGGCGCGGGCCGGGCCGGGGGGGGGGGCGCGGGCCGGGCCGGGGGGGGGGGGCGCGGGCCGGGGCGGCGCGGCGCGGGCGGTACCTGTAGCCGCGGTTGGAGGCCCGCGGCGGGATCCGGTAGACGCTGACGTCCGGCTTCACGCACAGCACCGACTCGTACTCGGACTCGGTCGCCATGGCGCTGCGCTGGCTGCGCCGCGGAGAGGAGGAGAGCGGCGGCGGCGGCGGGGGCGGGCGCCGCGGGCGTCACGCGCGGTGACGTGACGCGCCGCCGGCCGCTTCCGGCGGCGTCACTTCCGCTCGGCCGCGCTGCAGCCGCTAAGCTCTCCCGAGACGGGAGGGGTGGGCGGAGCTAAGCGGCCATGTTGGAACCGGGAAGCGCTGAAGCCGCCCGGCCGCCATCTTGAGTATTGGCAAAAACGTCATCCGGGTTGTGGCGCGGCGCGGCGCCGTGTGGGAGGCCGGGAGGGGGGGGGGGCCTGGCAGAGGTGTCCGTAGTGTGTGCGCATGCGCGCGCGCGGCCCGGGGCCCGCGCGCTCCCGCCCACTTCCGGCGTTTTCCGCGTATGGGGGAGGGGGGGCCGAGAACTCGAACCCGGGCCTCGCGCATGCGCGGCGAGCGCGCTACCCCTGAGCCGCCCGCCCCGCCCCGGTTCTCGCCCCTGGGATCTCGCGAGAGCTGAGGGGGGGGCCGGGAAGGAGAGCTGCGCGGCCGGCCCCGCGCGTGGCGTCCCGCCTACGGCAGCCCCGCAGCGACACTCCCGCTGCGTCCGTTACGTGTCCGTCGGTCCCGGGCCTGGAGCTCAGGGCCGGGCGCTGCCCCCGCGCTCCGGCCCGGGCGCGCGCTGGGAGATCGGAGCCCCGGGGCCTCTGCTGCCCGGGCTGGCCTCGAGCCCCGAGCCTCCGCTCTCAGCCTCCCGGGTCTCTGGGATGACAGGCGGGAGCCGCGCGCCCGGCGGCTCATGTGAAAGAAGAAAAAGGGTGGGGGCGCGGGGCCTGCTTCACGATGCCCATTTACGCGCGCTCCGCAGCTCCGCTGCGCGCTCGGCGTCTAGAAACTCAAAACAGGACGGAACCCCGCGCTCCCCACGCGGTGCGGGGCCGCGGTCAGCCCGCGCACTCCCCCAGCGCTCCCCACGCGGTGCGGGGCCGCGGTCAGCCCGCACACTCCCCCAGCGCTCCCCACGCGGTGCGGGGCCGCGGTCAGCCCGCACGCTCCCCCAGCGCTCACCACGCTCACCACGCGGTGCGGGGCCGCGGTCAGCCCGCACACTCCCCCAGCGCTCCCCACGCGGTGCGGGGCCGCGGTCAGCCCGCACACTCCCCCAGCGCTCACCACGCGGTGCGGGGCCGCGGTCAGCCCGCACACTCCCCCAGCGCTCCCCACGCGGTGCGGGGCCGCGGTCAGCCCGCACGCAGACGCCGCCCGCGCTCACCCGCGCTCACCACGCGGTGCGGGGCCGCGGTCAGCCCGCACGCTCCCCCAGCGCTCCCCACGCGGTGCGGGGCCGCGGTCAGCCCGCACGCTCCCCCAGCGCTCACCACGCGGTGCGGGGCCGCGGTCAGCCCGCACGCAGACGCCGCCCGCGCTCGCTTCCCGCAGGGGCCGCAGCTTCGTGCGCGCCTCGGCCTGGCTCCACCCCCAGCACCGCAAAAATAAGAACACCCATCTCCTGAGCCACGCGCCGCGGCGCCCGCCCCAGCTGCGCGGGAGGCCGGGACCCGAGGGTCGCGGCTCAAAGCCGGCCTGGGCAAGGAAGCTCAGACTGTTTTTTTTGGCCAGTCCTGGGAATCGAACTCACGGCCTGGGCACTGTCCCTGAGCTGCTTTAGCTCAAGGCTGGCGCTCTACCCCTTGAGCCATAGCTCCACTTCTGGCTTTTTCTGTGTATGTGGTGCTGAGGACTTGAACCCAGGGCCTCATGCATGCTAGGCGAGCGCTCTACCACTGAGCCGCCTGCCCAGACCTAACAAGACTCATAATCCAATGAACCCCCAAAAAAGCCAGAAGTGGAGCTGTAATTCAAGTGGTAGAGCACCCACCTTGAGCACAAAATCTGAAGGACAGCACCCAGGCTGGATTCAAACCCCAGGACTGTCACCAAAAATAACAATAATAACTATTATTATTAATAATAATAATAATGGACAAGACAGGGACAAGTCAAAGCTAACTAAGTTAAAAACAAAACACAAGCAAGCAAAAAAAGTCTTCAGCCAGGTGCCGGTGGCTCCCGCCTGTCATCCCAGCTACTCAGGAGGCTGAGGTCTGAGGATCACAGTTCGAGGCCAGCCCAGGCAGGAAAGTCCAGGAGACTCTGATCTCCAAGGAACCCACAGAAAGCCAGAAGTGAAACTGTGGCTCAACATGGAAGATTTATGTAATGATGTGAGAGAGCTCAGGGACAGCGAGCTCAGGCCTGTGACCAGCAAAACAGAAAGAAAGAGCTTTCGATCAGGATGCAGTGAGTCACCCTGCAGTCCCATCGCCGAGGCCTTGAAGTTGGAGAAAAGTTTCATCTTCAAAAAAAGCTGGGCACTGGTAGCTCCCACCTGTAATCCCGGCTCCTCAGGAGGCTCAAAGCTGAAGATTGAGGTTTGAAGCCAGTCTGGTCAGGAAACTCCTTCACCTTCCCATCTCCAATGAACCAGCAAAAAAAATGTTTTAAAAAGCCAGAAGTGGCGCTGTGGCTCAGGTGGTAGAGCGCCAGCATGGAACTGAAGAGCTGAGGGACAGCGCCCAGGTCCTGAGTTCAAGTCCCGGGACTGACAAATAAAAAAAAGAGAGAGAGAAAGAAGAAGGAGGGAAGGAAGGGAGGGAGGGAGGGAGGGGAGGGAGGGTTCTGGTGGGTGTCTGGTCGGGGCGGCTCTGGTTTGAGGGAGGCCCGGCCTCCTCCGGCCTCCTCGGGCCTCGCAGCGAAGCGGCGGCCTGTCCGATGTGCTATTAGTTGTGCAAGGCCGGCCTGGGCCGGCTCAGATCTATCTGCTGCTCCATGCACTTCCTGCCTGCGGGTGAGCATTTCACTTTGGTCTTCCGTGTTCTCGGGTGTAGAGTATTTCCTTCCCGTCCGAGCTGCGCGATTCCCCAGAGCTGCTGCTTGGGGGGGGGGGTGTCATCCGTGTGTGTGTGTGTGTGTGTGTGTGTGTGTGTGTGTGTGTGTGAGAGAGAGAGAGAGAGTGTATGTGTCCTGAGATTTGAACTCAGAGCCTGGGAACAGCCCCTTAGCTTTTCTTTACTCAATGCTGGTGCTTTCCCCCTTGAGCCACACCTCCACTTCCAGCTTTGTTTTGGACACAAGAGCCTTTTCTGCTCGGATGGACTTCAGACCATGATCCTCCAAGCAGCTGGAATTCCAGGCGTGAGCTACCTAGCTGGTGGGAGAATCCTCTATCACACATCACGAGCAGCAGGAAATCACCTTTCGGACTAGAAGAATCTAGAGGCCTGGGGCTAGTCTTTACCCTCCCAACCTTCAGCTCCCGCTACCAGCCAGCCGCTGTGAATCCTATAATTATCTAAGGACTCCCACAAATCTTATCTCTATGGTGAAATTTTCCAGGTTTCCCTCCTACTTCTACATCTTGACTTCCTAGGTTTTCCTATTTTTGTTGGTGGTGGTGGTCGTGGGGCTTGAACTCAGGGCCTGGGCGCTGTCCCTCAGCTCTTCAGCTCAAGGCTGGCGCTCTACCCCTTGAGCCACAGCGCCACTTCTGGTTTTCTGGTGCTTCATTGGAGATCAGAGTCTCATGGACTTTCCTGCCCAGGCTGGCTTCGAACCCTGATCCTCAGATGTCAGCCTCCTGAGTAGCTGGGATGACAGGCGTGAGCCACTAATGCCTGGGTTCTTTGAGCTAGGGTGTGATTATGTAGCTTTGGCTGGCCTTGAACCCATAACCTTCCTGTTTCTTTCTGCTGAGTTCTGGGATTCCACACAGATACCACCATACTGAGCTCATTTCCATCTCCTTCAAGAGTATATCACAATTCAGGGCCTGGGAAGGTGGCTCAGAGGTAGAGAGCTTGCCTTATATGCATGAGGCCCTGGGTTCGATTCCTCAGCACCACATAAGCAGAAAAAAAGCCAGAAGTGGCACTGTGGTTCAAGTGGTAGAGCGCCAGCCTTGAGCTGAAGAGCTGAGGGACAGCGCCCAGGCCCCCTACCAATATAAGATTAAAATTAAAGAGCGTATATCACAATTTGAAGCAGCTCAAATCCAAGTTGAACTAGCCACAGCTCCACTTCTGGTTTTTTGCTGGTCCCTTCGAGGTAGGAGTCTCCTGGACTTTCTAGCCAAGGCTGGCTTTGAACCGCCATGCTCAGATTTCAGCTTTTCCGAAGCTGGGATTCCAGGCAGGCGCCACAGCACCCGGCTCTGGACTTCCTATGACTTCTCCTTGGACCAAAATAGAAGCGACACTCAGGGGCTTGTTGTGCAGAAATTTCTCCTCCCCCTTCCTTCCCACCCCCTCATCCTCATCCAACTGTGAGCCTGAAGAGAAAGTTCCATGACTTCCAAACTCCACCTATCTGCTCTACTGGTTTTCCTGTGAAAGTCAATTTAAAAAAAAAAAAAAAAATGACTCACTGGCTCACTGGCTTCTGGTCAGAAAAGAGGAAGAAAGGAGGAAGTGGTCGGAAACACAGAGATAAACTGTGACTTCATTGTAGCCAGCCAAGCAGAGACCCAGGAACAATCCAGAAAGAGCCCGGGCCTTTTCTTAAGAGGGGGTAAGAAAAATCCAGATATTTCTGATCCCTGCAGCGTTCGCTGGTTCCCATCCTTGCAGACAGAAGAGTTTGGCAACCACCATCTTCCATTTCCATTCTTATTCCTTCCCTGGCTTTTCTTTTTCTTTTCTTATACTTATGGCTACCTTCTTTTCTTTCCTTTTCTTTGGTGATTCTTGGGAATGTCTTGACTGGGAGTGGGGGAAATGATCTGGACTTGTTCTTTGTGTTTTGTGGCTTTGCTTTTCACCTATTTGTGCTCACGTTCAAGCCAGCGGTGTGGCTTCATTTCTGGATTCTTCTCTCCCTCCGTTGGTTTTGTGTTTGCAGATCTTTGATCTGAGCACCCGAGCAGGTCAAGTGTCACTCCGTTTCTTTTTTTCTCTCTCTTTGATTTCCTTTTTCTTTGCCTGTCTTGGGGCTGAAGTTTCCAAACTCCTGAGTTTTGCTTTTGTTTTGGTCTCCGCAAAGTCAGAGAAAAGTCATAGCCGGGCAGGGTAGCTCCCGCCTGGAATCCCAGCTCCTCCGGAGGCTGAGATCTGAGGATTGTGGTTCAAAGCCAGCCCCAGGCAGGAAAGTCCAGGGGAACTCCTATCTCCAAGGACACAGCAAAAAGCCAGAAGTGGCTCTGGGGCTAGGTAAGAGTTTTAAGTTTGTCCCGCAGTGTTTGCACTGAAAGGTTGGTGCTCTACCAATTGAGCCATACAGCTCCCTAGCCAGCTTCTTGGTGGTTCATTAGGGTTAACTGTCTCGGACTTTCCTGTCCAGCTGGCTGTGAACTACAATCTTCAGAGCTCAGTCTCCTGAGTGGCTGGGATTACAGGTGTGTGCTACGAGCGCCTGCCTTTCCTTCTGTCTTGTCTCTGCTTCTGAGTATCTCTTGTTTTGTACTGGTTTCCATCCTTAATGTTTGACTCTAGGATCCTTTTTTTTTTTTTTCTCTTTCCTGATCATAGATGAATTTTCGTTTCAGGATGCTCTTTCTCTTTTTAATTACTGCGGCAGCATTCTGGAGTCGGACTATGAGAAATCTTGGATCTACTATCTTTGTCTGAACAGAATTATTGGTTTGCTTATTTACTAATAGGCATCTACTTATTTCCTTCTTTGGGTGTTTATTGGCGGTGCCGAGGATTGAACCAAGTTTCTCCTGCACGCTAGGCAAGCATCTACCCTTTTACCTGACCCTTAGACTTTGATGTAATAATCTTAAATATCATTATATGAATGTTAAATGTCAAGGGTATTTTTGTTTTTTTGCCAGTCCTGGGGCTGGAACTCAGGGCCTGGGCGCTGTCCCTGAGCTGCTTTGGCTCCAGGCTGGCGCTCTACCCCTTGAGCCACAGCGCCACTTCCGGCTTTTTTCTGTGTCTGTGGTACTGAGGATTCGAACCCAGGGCTTCATGCATGCTAGGCGAGCGCTCTACCCCTGAGCCACCTGCCCAGTTCTTGAGAGCATTTTTCAGCCAACACCTGGAGACATGTGAAGAAACATCGAAGCCCTCAGGTCCCAGAATGACTTGTTGTTGTTTTCCTTATTCAGTCTTTATTTTGTCTTCCCTCGGTGAAAATCCTGAGGCAACCGCTTTGCCCAGATTTCCTGGGGAAGGTTCAGGAAAACAAGACATGGGAGGGGAAAAAAGCTCCTCCTCCTCACAGCCAAGAGGATGAGAAAGGCCGGCGTCTGGCAAAAGGGCCCCCTAGCAAGCCGGGCACCGGCGCTCACGCCTGTCATCCCAGCCACTCAGGAGGCTGAGGCCTGAGGATCGCGGTTGGAGGCCAGCCCGGAAAAGTCCGTGAGACTCTCTATCTACAATAAACCACTGGGAAATTCGGCAGTGGCGCTGTGGCTCAAGGGGTAGAGCACCTGCCTTGAGCTGATAGAGCTCAGGGTCAGCGCCCAGGCCACGAGTTCAAGACCCACGACTGACTAAAAAATAAACCATGGCTGAGGAGAAGAGCCGCTGCTTCAGAGGAAAGTTCTTGGCGTACCCAGAGATGGGGTTCCCCCCAAACACGGTGCCCAGCCCACCCCAGAAGCCGGCCACCCCGGCTGCGGCCGCTCCAGCCCCGATAGACTTGGAGGCTGTGTCCGTGGCCCTTGATGCCACCGGTTTGGAGCAAGCATACATTTCCAGGGGTTTGGGGGGGCTGTGGGGGCCATGAGAGTTGCTCCCAGGGCAGAGAAGACAGAGAGGGGCGAGGGAGGCCCCAGAATGACTTTTAAGTCCCACATTGTGTGTATATTTATATATATATAGTCACTCGTGGGACTTGAACTCAGGGCCTGGGCACCGTCGCTCAGCGCTTCAGCTCAAGGCTGGCGCTCTACCCCTTGAGCCACAGCGCCACATTGGGTTTTCTGCTGGGTTCCTTGGGAGATCAGAGTCTCCCAGACCTTCCTGCCCGGGCTGGCCTTGAACTGCGATCCTCAGATCTCAGCCTCCTGAGTGGCTGGGATGCCAGGCGGGAGCTACAGTGCTGGTTGGGTGTCAAGTTTGACGATAGCAATCGAAGATGAGAAAAGAATGTTGGGGTGGTGTCTGGGTAGGAAGAGCCAGGGGACAGGAAAAGCATTTCTTCTTCTTCTTGAATTGTTGACTCGCTGCTTTTAACTTCTGCTGAGCTTCGGGGTTGGGGCTGTGACCGTTGAAGTCAGCAGATTAGTGGGGATGTGGCTGAATTTCTATTCAAAGCCACAGAACGTGTAATCGGAGCCAGGAAGACTTTAAGGAGAAGTTCAGAGGGACTGAGGCGGGCTGAGGATTAGAATAGATAAGAATTGGAAGGCGACGGGCTGGGCAGGTGGCTCAGTGGTAGAGCGCTCGCCTTGCATGCATGAGGCCCTGGGTTCGAGTCCTCAGCACCACATATGCAGAAAAAGCCAGAAGTGGCGCTGTGGTTCACGTGGTAGAGCACCAGCCTTGAGCTGAAGAGCTGAGGGACAGCGCCCAGGCCCTGAGTTCAAGCCCCAGGACTGACAAAAAAAGAAAAGAATTGTAGAGTGTGTGTGTGTGTGTGTGTGTGTGTGTGTGTGTGTGTGTGCGTGCGCGCATGCGCGTGCCAGTCCTGGGCTTGAACTCGTGCTAGTCCTGGGCTTGAACTCAGGGCTTGGGTGCTGAACCTGAGTTTTTTTCCCTCCAAGCTGGTGCTCTACCACTTGAGTCACAGCTGCATTCCTGGTTTTTGCTGATGAATCAGAGATCAGAGTCTCACGGCCTTTCCTGCCCGGGCTGGCTTTGAACCGCGATCCTCCGATCTCAGCCTCCCGAGGAGCTGGGATGGCAGGCGGGCGCCACCAGCACCGGGCTGCAATTGATGTTTTCATTTTGTTCCAAATGGCATCGGAAAAGGAAACGACGTCTGTGGATGACTCAGTAGCCTTTGATCTCTGGAGCCCTGGGTTCTGGAGCTTTCTATCCAGGCCCGAGGCCAAGGCCTGTGAAACAGGATGTTATTTATTTTCGTTTGAGTCTGCACTGGGGCTTGAACTCAGAGTCTGGTGTTTGTCTCTGGGCTTCCCTCCGCTCCAGGCTGTAATCCGACCATTCAAGCTGCGTCTGCACTTCTGACCTGTGGTTGTGGTTGTGGTTGTGGCCGGTTGGGTTGCTCATACGACTCTCTGGGGTCTCTCCCCGCGGTTGGGCTGCCAGCCGCAGCCCTTTCGGGGTGGCCGGGACTACAGCCATGCGCTACGCAGCCCGGCTCCCGTCCCAACGGTCTCCCGTCCTGTTTTGCTTCTAGAATAGAGAGGTGGCCGCAGCATGGAGTTCAACCACACGGACTGGAGCCACGACCCCAGACAGGCTTCGTTCAGCCCCGTGGTGATCGTGTCCGTGGTCATCCTGGGCCTCACGTGCTTGCTGGGCCTGCCCGGGAACGGGCTGGTGCTGTGGGTGGCTGGCTTTAAGATGCGGCGGACGGTGAACACCGTGTGGTTTCTGCACCTCACGCTGGCCGACCTCCTCTGCTGCGTGTCCCTGCCCTTCAACCTGGCCTACGTCCTCCAGGGCCGCTGGCCCTTCGGCTGGCTTCTGTGCAAGCTCATCCCGTCGGCCGTCATCTTGAACATGTTCGCCAGCGTCTTCCTGCTCACCGCCATCAGCATCGACCGCTGCCTCGTGGTCCTCAAACCCATCTGGTGTCAGAACCACCGCCGGGTGGGGACCGCCCGGGCCGTGTGCGGGGGCATCTGGGCCCTGGCTTTTCTCCTGTGCGTGCCTGTGTTCCTCTACCGCGACACGTTCATGGAGGACCAGCAGGAGGTGTGTGGCTACAACTACGCTGTCTTCGATCCCGTGGATCACGTCTACCCAGTTCCCTTCCCGGACAGCGAATCTCCGGATCACCTGGCGGTGGACAGCGAATCTCTGGATCACGTGTTCAATGGGTCCACGGATTCCAGCCGTCTCCCCCCGATCCGGCTCCTCCCCGACCAAGAGGAGGCTTTGCTGTCTCCCAATGCCCTGGAGGAGTATCCCTACCTGCCCGACTACGTCTTTGGGGGGCTGTTCGGGGACGAGGTCCCCACGGAGCTGGTGGTCATCACGCTCACCAGGCTGGTGCTGGGCTTCGCGCTGCCCGCCATCATCATGGTGGCCTGCTACAGCACCGTGGTGATCAAGACAAGACGAAGCCTCTTCTCCACGTGTCCCAAGAAGACGTTCAAGGTCGCTGTGGTCATCGTGATCGTCTTCCTGGTCTGCTGGGTGCCCTACCACGTCGTCGGGGTGCTGTTCCTGTTCAAGGAGGCCGACCTGCCCGACAGGGAGGCCCTGCTCACCTGGGATCTCTTCTCCGTGGCCCTGGCCTCGGCCAACAGCTGCTTCAACCCCTTCCTCTACGCCTTCCTGGGGAAAGGCTTCAGGAAGAAGGCGTGCCAGTCCCTGCGGGGGATCCTGGAGGCGGCCTTCAGCGAGGACCTCACTCCGTCCACCAGCGCCTCCCAGCCCAGAGCCAGCATGAGCACCGGGGTGTGAGCCCCACCCGGCCCGGAGACGCGGGGCTCCCCCAGGGGGCGGCATCTGTGGGGACGGCCGCGTGCCGCCGCGCACGCCTGTAATCCCGGCTCCTCCCGTGTGCTGAGATCACAGGATCACCCCCCCCACACACACACACCCCATGATGGAATCCACGCCCCGCACAAGGAACAAGGCCGTGAGACTCTCAGCCAGCACCCCAAAAAAAACCACCCACCAAAAGCCAGCCGTCGAAGGGGTGGTTCACGTGGCCAAGCGCCCAGCCGGCCTGGAGGGCCTGGAGTTCAGGCACGAGGGAAAGAAGGAAAGGAAGGAGGGAGAGAGAAAGGGAGGGAGGGGAGGACAGAAGGAAGGGGGAGGGAACCATGAATCGGACCCCGAGGCCAGAGACTAATTGAGGTTGCAGCCTAGCCTGGAAACATCTTAGAGATGCAGAGTCTCGAGCCGGGCCTGCCGGGGTAACATGGCTGCGTGCTGAGGCACCTTGACTGCCGTTGGTTTGGAGGAGTGCGTATGAAGTCAGGACTCGGGGCCTCTGATCCTCAGATCTCAGCCTTCCCAGCTACTCGGACCCCAACCCCCCAACACAGGGGAGACACCAGTGCCCAGGGCCAACGTGTTTCTCAGGCTTTGGGCTCCCGTGGCTGGTAGAAGGTCGGAGTTCATAGCTACCGCCCCCGTTTGTACGTTATAGGTGAATAAATGCTTTCCTTTCCTCCCGCTTTTCCTTGCAGGACTCAAGATTTGTGGATTGGTTTGGGGGGGTGTGTGTGTCAGTCCTTGAACTCAGGGCCTGGGCGCTGTCCCTGAGCTCTTTCACTCAAGGCTGGTGCTCTACCACTTGAACCACAGCACCACTTCTGCTATTTTGCTGCTTCCTTGGAGATCAAGAGTCTCAGACTTTCCTGCCCGGGCTGGCTTTGAACCCTGACCCTCAGATCCCTGATCTGAGGAGGAGCTGGATGGGTGGAGGTGGTTGGTTGGAATCCGTGGACCCGCTGAACATGTGACCCGGAGATTCGCTGTCCACCACCAGGTGATCCTGAGATTCGCTGTCTGAGAACAGATCCCTGATCTGAGGATTACGGTTCAAAGCCAGCCCGGGCAGGGAAGTCTGTGAGATTCTTTTACCTCCAACTGACCAGCAAAAAGTTGTGGCTCAAGTGGTAGAGCACCAATCTTGAGTAAAACAAGAAAGACACTGGGTGCCAGTGCCAGTGCGGCTCTGATCTCCAATTACCTACCAGGGAACCGGAAGTGGCGCTGTGGCTCAAGTGGTAGAGCGCCAGCCTGGAGCTGAAGAGCTGAGGGACAGCGCCCAGGCCGTGAGTTCAAGTCCCACCACTGGCAGAAAAGTAGTAACTAACTAAATACACAAATAAAAGGAGGGAAGGAAAGACAGCAGAGACCACACGAGCTGGGAAGGCTTGTTTCTTTCTTCTTTTTATTAAGAAAGCATGCAAAAACAAACCAACAAAATCCCACACGGCTCCCAGCCTGCGTGGTCGCAAAGCATCCTGGGTAGAAGGCAGGTGTCAGCCAGCCCAGTGGACGTAGAGTGGGAAGTAGCCCGGGGCGGACCCCGGCTGCACACCTCATCCCCATCACCACCGCCCAATCCCACTTGAGGCCCCAGCCAACCAGAACGGAGAGGGCAACACTACAAAGTCAAACGAGTCTGTTTCCATTTCCTGGGAGGGAAACTGAGGCTGAGCTTGAGTCTCAGAGACTAGACCTTGCCTTGACCAAAGAGTTCACCCGACCCTACCCAAACCCGGGTGGATGTGAATAAGCAAACAAGAAAAGGTGTAGGCAGAGACCCGTGGCGCACGCCTGTAATCCCGGCCACTCAGGAGGCTGAGAGCTGAGGATCGTGGTTCAAGGCCAGCCCGGGGAGGAAAAGTCTGTGAGACTCTGATCTCCCAGGAACCACCCGAAAACCGGATGTGGCGCTGTGGCTCAAGGGGAAGAGCGCCCGCCTTGAGCTGAAGAGCTGAGGGACAGCGCCCAGGCCCAGAGTTCAAGCCCCACGACCGACACCAAGGAAAAACAACAATAACAAAAACAGTATGCCCTAGTTCTACCCCATGAGCACAACGGGAGGTTCTGTGCTCGGCCCGAGTTCTGTGGGGTTTCTTTTCGTTCTTTCTTTTCCTTACAAAAGACTCAAAGAAATAAAGTGCTTCTTTCGCTCAGCTGCCCGCTCTAACCCCCCCACCTCTGCCTCTCCCCGCGCTCCCGCAGAGTCCTCTGCCAGCCACAGGGAAGAGGGGGCTCGGGGGAGAAGAGCGGGAGGGCGGAGGGAACGTGAGGACTGACGCGCAGTGTCCCTGTGGGCAGTTGGTGGCATGAACATGGAAGGAAGGTTGGGCGCGGTGGCGCCCGCCTGGCATCCCAGCCACTCGGGAGGCTGAGGTCTGAGGATCGCGGTTCGAGGCCAGCCTTAGGCAGGAAAAGTCCGGGGGACTCTGATCTCCACTGAACCAGCAGGTGGGGAGGTTGGGCTCAATTGGTAGAGCACCAACCTGGGGAAGGAAGGAAGGAAGGAAGGAAGGAAGGAAGGAAGGAAGGAAGGATCTATGGGACAGCACCCAGGCCAGGCCCTGAGTTCGAGCCACCAAAAACAAACAAAAAACCCAGCTGACCCGGTTCTGACCAAAGGTGTTCATGCACCAACTAAAACCAACTCCACCTCTTCAGATCATGAACTAGGGCCGGGCACGGTGGCTCACGCCTGTAATCCCGGCTAGGCTACGTGGATGGCAGCTGAGAGCTAGCCTGGCCTTGGACAGCCCGGCAGACTCTTATCTCCTGTGAACCGGCTAAAAGCCAGGAGGGGAGGTGTGGCTCAAGTGGTAGAGCGCCAACCTTGAGGAGGAAAAAATAAGAAGAAGGCACAGGGTGGGCGTGAGGCCCAGGAGCCGCGCACACGAACAAGAAAATTAAACGAACAAAACCACAGGAGAGGAGAGGGGGAGGGGAGGGAGGAGAGAGGAAGCGGAGAAGGGGAAGGAGCGAGGGGGGATCTGGGAGAGGATCTGCGAGGCAGGTCGGGGTGCAGAGCAAGGGGAAGGCGCTGGGAATACACCAGCACCCCGAACCCCGTCTCCCGCTGGCCTGCACCCAAGTCTGGGTTGCTCCTGCCAGGGACAGGTCCAGCAGCCGGGCGCCGGTGCGCAGGCCTGTAATCCCAGCCGCGCAGGAGGCTGGGATCTGAGGATCGTGGTTGGCTCTGGAAGCCTGATCGTTTTTTCCTTGTTCTTGTTTTGCTTTGCAATTCGCAAAGGCTGACGCTGATGGGCGCTGGGAGGCGTGGGCAGAGATCGTATGAACCAATTAATTCCTCCTCCTCCTCCTCAAATTAGAAGAATTCAAAACAATGAAAGATCAAGACTTGGGCAGAGACAGGAAGTCTGGGTTGGTGGCAGCCGGTGGCGGTGATGTCAGGGATGGGGGAGAACTCAGAACCAAGAGCGAGAGTATCTATGTACAGCGGGAGGAGGAGCGTTGCTGTCTCCTTTCTCCTGGAGGACGCGTTAGGTGATCAAGTCCCAGTCGAAGTCGTCAGAGATCTCCTCATTCGCGGCGGGGGCCTGGACGGGGGGCCGGGGGACCAGGTGGTGAGCTGAGAAGCGAGAGACAGAGAGAGAAATTGAGGTTGGAGGAAAGCCGGGCGCCGCTGCTCACGCCTGTAATCCCAGCCACTCAGAAGGCTGAGATAGGAGGATCGTGGTTCCAAGCCGGCCAGAGCGCTGCCGGCCTTGAATGAGCAAGCTAAGCCAGGGCGGGCGGTCCTGAGTTCGAGACCCAGGACTGGCATAAAATCATTCATTCATTCAAAAGAATGAATGAAGGAGAAGGGAGCAAGCGGGGAAGCCACTTTCGGGTTCTTACCTGGGCGGCTGTAGCCTGCCGAGTCCTGGGTAGAGACGGGGTACATGGGCGATGGGCCGGGGTAGAGGTGGGGGGGCTGGGGGTGTCCGTAAGAGTTCACTGCCAAAGCAAGACAAGAGTTATTTGAAGATGCGTGCCGCGGCGCACGCCTGTCATCCCAGCGACTCAGGAGGCTGAGATCTGAGGATCGTGGTTCAAAGCCAGCCTAGGCAGGAAAGTCCATGAGACTCTGATCTCCAAGGAACCACCAGAAAACCAGGAGTGGCGCTGTGGCTCAAGTGCTGGAGCGCCAGCCTTGAGCTGAAGAGCTGAGGGACGGCGCCCAGGCCCAGAGTTTAAATCCCAGGACTGGCACAAAAAAAAAAAGCAGGTTCCTTGAGAGAAGGGTCTTTCTTCTCAATAAAGAAAGGAAGAAACAAAACATGCCCTTCCCCAGCCTTCACTTTCTTTCTCCCACTGTTGTGTGTGTGTGTGTGTGTGGTGGTCCTGGGACTTGAACTCAGGGCCTGGGCGCTGTCCCTGTGTTCTTCAGCTCCAGGCGGGCGCTCTACCCCTTGAGCCACAGCACCATGTCTGGTTTTCTGGTGGTTCACTGGAGATCAGAGTCTCATGGACTTTCCCGCCCGGGCTGGCTTTGAACCGCGATCCTCAGAGCTCAGCCTCCTGAGTGGCTGGGATGACAGGCGTGAGCACCGGCGCCCGGCCACGCACCACTAATGTCCGCCTCTGCGGGAGGGCGGGTGGGCACCTTGGCTCATGGCTGCCCCCTGCTTGCCGCCGGTGAGGGCGCAGGCCTCGGTGCGGGGGGCCGGCGCGGGGGGCCGGTGCGGGCTCTGGGGGGGCAGGTGCCCAGCCTGTGTGAGGAAATGGCTGAGGGAGTCGCACAGGTTGGCGATGTGGTGCTGGTCCAGAGTCCAATTCTTCTGCTCGGCCTGCCGCAGGTTCTCCATCAGTTCTGGAAACACACAAGTGAAGCGAGCTCACCCCGAGAGGCAGGGCGCCCCGAGACACCCTCCTCTCCCCCAGCTGCCCACAGCGGGAAACCACAGCAAGATCTACCAGCCGGGCATCGGTGCGCACGCCTGCCATCCCAGCCACTCGGGAGGCTGAGATCTGAGGATCGCGGGTCGAGGCCAGCCTGGGCGGGAAAGTCCGCGAGACTCTGATCTCCCAGGAACCACCAAAAAGCCGGAAGTGGCGCTGTGGCTCAGTTGGTAGAGCGCCAGCCGTGAGCTGAAGAGCTGAGGGACAGCGCCCAGGCCCTGAGTTCAAGCCCCAGGACCAGCACGAAGATTCTACTACTAATTAAATAATAGTAATAATAGGAAATAATAACTAGCACTTTCCAATTCTCCCTCTTCTCCTGCTCCCTCTTTCGGCTGGGACTGAGATTTGAACTCAGAGCCTCTCCCCGATTTGCTGGGCTTTTTCACTCAAGGCTGGCGTTACCCCTGAGCCACAGCTCCACGTCCAGCTTCGTTGGAGGCTCCGTGGAGGTTAAGAGTCTCCTGGCCGTTTGTGCCCACGCTGGCTTCCGCGTGGGATCCTCCATCTCCGCCTCCGGACTGGCCGGGATTACAGGCGTGCGCTACTGGCGCCGGCCCGGATGCCATCTCTGCGGCCCTCACCTGAGAACTGCGACTGCTCGATGCTGGACCAGTTGAGCCGGTTGACCATCTTAAAGCTCTCCTTGAGGGAGTCGAGGCTGGAGCACCAGTCTGGAGGGAAGGCTGCGGAGGGAAAGCCAGCAGTGAGCTGTGGCCCCAGGCAGGGGGGACACTCAACATGGCGGCCCCGGGATTCACACCAGAGTCCTGCACCTCTGCAGGGTTGGCCTGAGCAACCCAGATTTGCACCGCGGGCGGCGCTGGCGGCTCCCGCCTGTCATCCCAGCTACGCAGGAGGCTGAGATCTGAGGATCGCAGTTGGAGGCCAGCCAGGGCGGGAAAGTCCCGGAGACTCTGATCTCCAGTGAAAACCGGCAGTGGCGCCGTGGCTCAAGGGGTAGAGCGCCCGCCTTGAGCTGAAGAGCTGCGGGACGGCGCCGGGGCCCCGAGTTCAAGCCCCATGACTGGCAGTAAAATCACCAACTAAAGCGACGCGCAGGGGGCCCTTCCTGGGCAGAGCGGCCGCAGGACCTTTGCACCTGCCGACTCACCGAACGCGGGGCTGTGGATGGCCGCCTGGCCCGGCGGCTGCGGCGCGGGCTGCTGGGCGGGGTGCGGCGGGTGGGGGTACCCTGGCTGCTGCAGGGAGGCGTGCATGCCCAGCACCCCGGGCGGCCCGTCGGGGCTTGGGGTGTGCAGAGGAGGGGCGGCCGGCACGGCGGGGGGGCCCTGGGCTGGGGCCGGCGGCGTCTGGGGCGGCGGCTGCTGGTACATGTAGTAGTTGTTGGAGGGCGTCATGTCCCCCAGCAGCGACGAGAAGCCTGGGGGGGAGAGGAGGGTGAGCGGGGTGGGGATCCCCTCGCCTGGCCGGGGCGGGGAAGCGGCCCAGGGCCGGCCGGGACCCCCCGCCGCTGGGGAGGCCGAGGCCGGGGGATCCGCGGTGGAGGCCGAGGCCGGGGGACCCTCGGCGGAGGCCGAGGCCGGAGGACCCGCTGGGGAGGCCGAGGCGGGAGGACCCGCTGGGGAGGCCGAGGCGGGAGGACCCGCTGGGGAGGCCGAGGCGGGAGGACCCGCTGGGGAGGCCGAGGCGGGAGGACCCGCTGGGGAGGCCGAGGCGGGAGGACCCGCGGCGGAGGCCGAGGCCAGAGGACCCGCTGGGGAGGCTGAGGCGGGAGGACCCGCTGGGGAGGCCGAGGCGGGAGGACCCGCTGGGGAGGCCGAGGCCGGAGGACCCGCGGCGGAGGCCGAGGCCGGGGACCCGCTGGGGAGGCCGAGGCCGGGGGACCCGCGGCGGAGGCCGAGGCGGGAGGACCCGCGGCGGAGGCCGAGGCCGGAGGACCCGCTGGGGAGGCCGAGGCGGGAGGACCCGCTGGGGAGGCCGAGGCGGGAGGACCCGCTGGGGAGGCCGAGGCGGGAGGACCCGCGGCGGAGGCCGAGGCCAGAGGACCCGCTGGGGAGGCTGAGGCGGGAGGACCCGCTGGGGAGGCCGAGGCGGGAGGACCCGCTGGGGAGGCCGAGGCGGGAGGACCCGCTGGGGAGGCCGAGGCCGGAGGACCCGCGGCGGAGGCCGAGGCCGGGGACCCGCTGGGGAGGCCGAGGCGGGAGGACCCGCGGCGGAGGCCGAGGCGGGAGGACCCGCTGGGGAGGCCGAGGCCGGAGGACCCGCGGCGGAGGCCGAGGCCGGGGACCCGCTGGGGAGGCCGAGGCGGGAGGACCCGCGGCGGAGGCCGAGGCGGGAGGACCCGCGGCGGAGGCCGAGGCGGGAGGACCCGCTGGGGAGGCCGAGGCCGGGGGACCCGCGGCGGAGGCCGAGGCGGGAGGACCCGCTGGGGAGGCCGAGGCGGGAGGACCCGCTGGGGAGGCCGAGGCCGGAGGATCCGCGGTGGAGGCCGAGGCGGGAGGACCCGCTGGGGAGGCCGAGGCGGGAGGACCCGCTGGGGAGGCCGAGGCCGGGGGACCCGCGGCGGAGGCCGGCCCGGGGTGCTGGGCTGGGGCGGGCCGCCCGGCCCCGGGTTCGAGGCCCGGGTGAGCGCGCGCGGGAGGGAGGGGGCACTGACCGTGCTGCGAGGCGGCGGCGGCGGAGGACGACTTCTCCAGCATGGACTTGTACAGGTTGCGGAAGGACCAGCTCAGGTCCTGGAAGTTGATCTCGGAGTAGGAGAACTTGAAGTCGGGGTTGGCGGGGTAGAGGGGCGGGCCGCCCTCCGCGCCGTCCCGCCCGCCGCCGCCGGGGCCCGGGGCCGCGCCGCCGCCCTCCGCAGACGCCGCCGAGCCGGGCTGCACCTGCGCGGACAGCGGACGGCGCGTCAGCCCGCCCGGCCTCCGCCCCGGCCTCCGCCCCGGCCTCCCCCGCCCGGCCTCCACCCGCCCGGCCTCCACCCGCCCGGCCCCCGGCCTCGCCCCGCCCGGCCCCGCCCCGCCCGGCCCCGCCCCGCCCGCCTCCCCGCGCGCCTCACTCGCTCCCCACTACCCAATGGCACGGCTTTACCCCTTCCTCCGTTTCCCATTGGTTCTCTGGGTGGGGCTTCATGTCCTTTTCTCATTGGTTCTCCGTGGGGCTTCACCTTTTCCTGCGTTTCTCATTGGCTCTCTGCGTAGCTTCATCTTCTCCATGTCTCATTGGTTCTCTGTGTGACTTCATTTGCATTTCTCACTGGCTCTCTGTGCGACTCCACCTCGTTTTCTCATTGGGTCTGTGCGACTGCATCTCATTTTCTCACTGGTTCAGTGCGACTCCACCTCGTTTTCTCATTGGTTCAGTGCGACTGCATCTCGTTTTCTCATTGGTTCAGTGCGACTGCACCTCGTTCTCTCATTGGGTCTGTGCGACTCCACCTCTTTTTCTCATTGGCTCTCTGTGCGACTCCACCTCGTTTTCTCATTGGTTCAGTGCGACTGCATCTCGTTTTCTCATTGGTTCAGTGCGACTGCACCTCGTTCTCTCATTGGGTCTGTGCGACTCCACCTCGTTCTCTCATTGGCTCTCTGTAAGGCGCCGTCTTCATTTCTCACAGGCCTCCATCTGCGCCTCCCGCGGCTCTGCGCGGGCGCGGCTCTGCGCGGGCTCTGCGCGGGCTCTGCGCGGGCTCTGCGCGGGCGCGGGCTCTGCGCGGGCTCTGCGCGGGCGCGGCTCTGCGCGGGCTCTGCGCGGGCGCGGCTCTGCGCGGGCGCGGCTCTGCGCGGGCTCTGCGCGGGCGCGGCTCTGCGCGGGCGCGGCTCTGCGCGGGCGCGGCTCTGCGCGGGCTCTGCGCGGGCGCGGCTCTGCGCGGGCGCGGCTCTGCGCGGGCGCGGCTCTGCGCGGGCTCTGCGCGGGCTCTGCGCGGGCTCTGCGCGGGCGCGGCTCTGCGCGGGCGCGGCTCTGCGCGGGCTCTGCGCGGGCGCGGCTCTGCGCGGGCGCGGCTCTGCGCGGGCTCTGCGCGGGCTCTGCGCGGGCTCTGCGCGGGCTCGGCTCTGCGCGGGCTCTGCGCGGGCGCGGCTCTGCGCGGGCTCTGCGCGGGCTCGGCTCTGCGCGGGCGCGGCTCTGCGCGGGCTCTGCGCGGGCGCGGCTCTGCGCGGGCGCGGCTCTGCGCGGGCTCTGCGCGGGCGCGGGCTCTGCGCGGGCGCGGCTCTGCTCGGGCTCTGCGCGGGCTCTGCGCGGGCGCGGGCTCTGCGCGGGCGCGGCTCTGCGCGGGCTCTGCGCGGGCTCTGCGCGGGCGCGGCTCTGCGCGGGCGCGGCTCTGCGCGGGCTCTGCGCGGGCGCGGCTCTGCGCGGGCTCTGCGCGGGCGCGGCTCTGCGCGGGCTCTGCGCGGGCGAGGCTCTGCGCGGGCTCTGCGCGGGCGCGGCTCTGCGCGGGCTCTGCGCGGGCGCGGCTCTGCGCGGGCTCTGCGCGGGCGCGGCTCTGCGCGGGCTCTGCGCGGGCGCGGCTCTGCGCGGGCGCGGCTCTGCGCGGGCGCGGCTCTGCGCGGGCGAGGCTCTGCGCGGGCGCGGCTCTGCGCTTCTGCTGCTCTGCGTGGCGCCATCTCCCCCTGCCCCGCCCTCCGCCGCTCTGTCCTGTCTCACTGCTGCGGCTGCAGCTCCTTTGCCCGCGGCTTCTGTGAGGCTTCGCGTCCTTTCCTCTTGCTTCTCGCTGTGGCTCCATCGTCTCCGCTGCTCGTTGCTTCTGTGTCACTGCATCTCTTTTTGATTGGTTCTCTGTGAGGCTCCATCTTCTCCATCGCTCATTGGTTCTCTGTGAGGCTTCATCTTCCCCATCGCTCATTGGTTCTTTATGTCTGTCTGTCTGTCTGACCCCACACTGGGGCTTAACTCACACTATCACTTGGCTTTTTCGCTCAAGGCTGGCGCTCTACCACTTGAGCCACAGCCCCGCTGCAGGCTTTCTAGTGGCTCATTGGAGATAGAGTCTCCCGGACTTTCCTGTCCCAGCTGGCTTGGAGCCGCGATCGTCGGATCTCAGCTTCGGGAGTAGCCGGGATTACAGGCGTGCACTACGGGCGCTGACTCAATGTGTAACTTCAATTTTGAGTGGAGTGCCAGAGTCCATCCAGCCACCCCTCCCCTCCCCCCGAGCCCTCATCTTCCTACCTGGCTGTAGCTGGCCATGGCGGCGGGGCTGGAGAGCGGCATCTGAGGGTTGCCCTCGGGAGGCAGGGAGGCCGGGGGCTCCCCGCTTCCCGGCACGGCCCCCCGGGGGCTCTTGCTGGCCTCCTGCTCGGGGGAATCTTGACACAGCTGAAGATGGCGACAGGGGAGAGGTTTCAGGGGAGGGGGAGGGGGAGAGGGGAGCAAGTGGGGGGGGGGTCCCCGGCTCACCTCATCATCCGGGGGGTGTCTCCTCTTCCGGGAGATGTCGGGACAGGTGTCGATGGTCCAGTAAGAGCCCTGGAATAAAAGCCACCCCCAAATCAGTGCCGGCACCATATCCCACCCCAGGATACGGAGTTCAAGACGTCTGTGTGTGCACAGGTGTCAGGAGAACGCAGGGCAGAGAACTGAGAACGCGGATCGAGGAGAAGGGCGGGGAGAGGAAGGGAGGAAGTAGGGAAAGAAGGGAGGAGGAGGGTCCAAGAGGAGAGGGGAGAAAGGAGGAGGGACAATGGGGGAGGAGGGAAAAGGAGCAGAGGGAAAGGGACAGGAGAAGAGGAAGGATGAAGGGAGGGAAAAGGAGAGGAGAGTCAGGCGCCGGTGACCGGCCATCCCAGCTACTCAGGAGGCTGAGCTTAGAGGATCGTGGTTAGAGGCCGGCCTGGGCAGGAAAGTCTATGAGATTCTTTTTTTTCTTTTTTGGGTCCGGTCGTGGGGCCTGAACTCTGGGCCAGGGCGCTGTCCCTCAGCTCTTCAGCTCAAGGCTGGTGCTCTACCCACTTGAGCCACAGTGCCACTTCCGGCTTTTTGCTTATGTGGTGCTGAGGAATCAAACCCAGGGCCTCAAGCATGCAAGGCAAGCGCTCTACCACTGAGCCACCTGCCCAGCCCAGTCTATGAAATTCTTATCTCCAAAGAACCACCAAAAAGCTGGCAGTGGCGCTGTGGCTCAAGTGGTAGAGCACCAGCCTTGAGCTGAAGAGCTGAGGGACAGCGCCCAGGCCCTGAGTTCAAGCCCCAGGACTGGCACCAAAAGAGAGAGAGAGGGACCAGAGTCTCCCTTAGTCCCCCATTCCCATGCAGGCCCACAGACCTCACAACCGTGCATGTTCTTCCTGGAGGGAGGAAGCCGCTTCTCTAACACGGCTTCCCCGCCTTCCCGCTCCAGCTCACCTTCCCAGGGTCATCTCGAGGTCGGGGAACCTTCCGGAAACACTTGTTGAGAGACAGGTTGTGCCGAATGGAATTCTGGGGGAGCAGAGAAACAAGGTGACACCCCAGGTTTGTGCACAGCAGAAAACTTCCTACTAGGACCTAAAGGAACACAGAACCACCTGCCACGCCACCCAGGCCACCCCAGCTACTCAGGAGGCTGCGAGCTGAGGATCGCGGTTCGAGGCCGGCCCGGGAGGAAAATCTATTGCAAGTCTTATTTCCAAAAATAAATTAGAAAACAAAAAAAGAAAGCCAGACGCGGGGCAGTGGCTCGGGTGGTGGAGCACCAGCCAGCCTGGCGCACAAGAGCCCCAGAGACGAGAGTCCAGGGCCCGGAGGGCAAGCTCCAGGCACGGCGCATGCGCAGTCCTGCTGAGCTCCTTCCAGCCATCCACGCGCATGCGCACCCACATTACGCGCATGCGCACACGCCCAACGCACCTCCCAGCCATCCACGCTCATGCACACCCACATCGCAAGCATGTGCACACCCCCGCGCACCTTACAGCCCATCCACGCGCATGCACACCCACATCGCACGCATGCGCACACCCCGCGCACCTTCCAGCCCATCCACGCGCATGCGCACACCCCGCACACCTTCCAGCCCATCCACACACATGCGCACCCACATCGCACGCATGCGCACACCCCCGCACACTGTCCAGCCCATCCACGCACATGCGCACACCCCTGCACACTGTCCAGCCCATCCACGCACATGCGCACACCCCGCGCACCGTCCAGCCCACCCACGCGCATGCGCACACCGCGCGCACCTTCCAGCCCACCCATGCGCACACCGCGCGCACCGGCCAGCCCACCCCCGCGCATGCGCACACCCCCGCGCACCGGCCAGCCATCCACGCGCATGCGCACACCCCCGCACTGTCCAGCCCACCCACGCGCATGCGCACACCCCCGCGCACCGTCCAGCCCACCCACGCGCATGCGCACACCCCGCGCACCGGCCAACCCACCCGCGCGCACGCGCACCGTCCGCACCGTCCAGCCCACCCACGCGCATGCGCACACCCCGCGCACCGTCCAGCCCATCCACGCGCACCGGCCAGCCCACCCCCGCGCATGCGCACACCCCGCGCACCGGCCAGCCCACCCGCGCGCACGCGCACACCCCGCGCACCTTCCAGCCCACGCCGGCGTTCTTGTAGTAGGGGAAGTTGTCGCAGATCCAGCGGTAGATGTCGCTGAGCGTCATGCGCTTGGCGGGCGAGGAGTTGATGGCGTAGGTGATGAGCGTGGCGTAGCTGTAGCGCGGCTTGCCGTCCTGCGCGGCCTCGTCGGCGCCCGGCCGCGGCTCGGCGGGCGCGGGCGAGCCCGGCGCGCACCTGCGGCCCGGCGGCGGCGCCGCCCCGCCCAGCTTCTCCAGCGTGGCGCGCAGCGTCAGCTGCGGCAGCCAGTCGATGGACGTCAGGCTGCTCTCCAGGTCCGACGCCATGGCGCCTGCGCGGCCTGCGGGCGGCAGAGGGCGGGGCTGCGGCTCGCCGGGACGCGGGTTCGAGGCCCGGGCCGCGCGCAGGCGCGACAGCCCGCGGGGGCGCCGCGGCCGGGCGGCGCAGCGCCCAGCCCGGAGCTGGGAGCCGAGGGGCGGCGCCCGGGCCGGGGTCCCGCCGCGGCAGACGATCGATCGATCTTCAATCGATAATCAATGCATCGATCAATCAACCAATAATCGATCGATCATCAACCCCTGAGCCGGCGCCGGGGCCCACGACCGATCGATCCATCGATAATCCATCGATCCATCCATCGATAACCAATCCATCGATCAATCGATCGATTATCAAGCCCCGAGCCGGCCCACGACCGATCGATCCATCGATAATCCATCGATCAATCAATCGATCGATCATCAGCCCCCGAGCCGGCGCCGGGCCCACGCCCGCCATCCGGGCCACCCAGGTGGAGGCTGGAGCCTCCTCTCGTGGCTGCTGTCGGCCGCGGGGCTCGAACCCGCGGCCCGGGCGCTGCCCCCGGCTCCCCGGCCCCCGGCGGGCGCTCCACCCCCGGGGCCGCGGCGCCACGTCCGGCTTTTCCCGTGCGCCTGGCGCCGAGGGATCGAGCCCAGGGCGGAGGCCGCTTCCCGGGAGGCCGGGCGCCGAGGATCGCAGCTCGAGGCCAGCCCGGGCAGGGACACGTCCCTGAGACTCTCCACCACCCAGAAAAAGCCAGAAGCAGAACAACAACAACAAAGGCCGCCGCAGCAGCGGCGGCAGCAGCAGGAACCAGCATCGCCACCATCGCCGGGCGCGTACACGACCAACGGAGCCCCAGCGCCCGCAGCCCGGCGCTCGCCAGGCCGGCTGGCCCGGCCCCAGCAGCAGGAAGTCCCGCCCCCTCAGCCCGGGGCCCGCCTCCCCATCCCATAGCCCGGCTAAAAATAGCCAGCCGGGGCCTGCGGAGCTGGCGGCCCGCCCCGGCCCGCCCCGGCCCCCGCCCCGGCCCCCGCCGCCTCCCCCGGCCCGGCCCGATCGCCCCCGGCCCGCCCCGATCGCGGCCCCGGCCCGGCCCGATCGCCCCAGGCCCGCCCCGGCCCCCGCCGCCTCCCCCGGCCCGGCCTGATCGCCCCCGGCCCGCCCCGATCGCGGCCCCGGCCCGGCCCGATCGCGGCCCCGGCCCGGCCCGATCGCCCCAGGCCCGCCCCGGCCCCCGCCGCCTCCCCCGGCCCGGCCCGATCGCGGCCCCGGCCCCGCTCTGCACCTCCGTGCCGACCCGCAAGGGCGCAGCCCGGCCGGGCGCCGCGAGATCCGGAGGATCGCGGTCCAGCGCCAGCCCCGGGCAGGACGGCGCGGGAGACTCCGGTGTCTGGTGAAGTAGAGCGCTCGCCTGGCGTGCACGAAGCCCCGGGTTCGAGTCCTCAGCACCCCAGACACAAAAGCCGCAAGGGGCGCTGTGGCTCCAGGGGTCGAGCGCCAGCCTGCCGCCAAAGCAGCCCAGGGACGGCGCCCAGGCCCCGAGTTCAAGCCCCAGGACTGTCACAAAAATATGAAAACACCGAGTAAAGCCACAGCCAAATATCAACATCAAATATGCGCAAACTTTGCAAGTCAAAGCCGAGGGCCAGATAGGACTCGGTCCCCACTCTCCTGGCTGTTTCTTTTTCTTGTCCCAGTCCCGGGATTTGAACTCAGGGCCTGGGCGCTGTCCCTCAGCTCTTCAGCTCAAGGCTGGCGCTCTACCACTTGAGCCACAGCGCCACTTCTGGTTTTCCAAGTTGTTTATTGGAGATCAGAATCTCACAGACTTTCCTGCCCCAGCTGGCTTTGAACCACGACCCTCAGCTCTCAGCCTCCTGAGTGGCTGGGATGACAGGCGTGAGCGCCAGCGCCCGGCCCTCTGGGATCTTTAACACACGGCTCAGTGTCTCTGGGTTTCAGGCTGTAGTTCTCGATCTATGAAGTTTAGCCCTCAGACATCCTTCCAGTCCTGTCTGGAAGGCCCCACCCACATAATGGGCCTGTACACACAAGTACCCGGCCTGTAGCTCCCACCCAGCAACACGCCCAGTCCACAGGGCTGTGAGTAGCACCTCATTCCTAAGGAGGCCAGAGCAGGCAGACACCTGACTCCATCCCTGCGCTCCTAGACAGGAGGGAAAACGCAAGAGAGCCCCACACTGGCATCCCAGCTACTCAGGAGGCTGAGATCCGGAGGATTGAGGTTCAGAGCCAGCCTGAGGCTGACCAATCTGACCAACACTATGTTGTCCAATTAACTAGTACAAAAGCCAGGAGCGGAGATGTAGCTCAAGTGGAAGAGCACCAACCCTGAGCCAAAGCAAAAGACCACGGGGGACAGTGAGGCCCTGAGTTCAAGTCCCAATAGTGGCACAAAAATAAAACAGGAACTGGGCGCCAGTGGCTCCCGCCTGTCATCCCAGCTACTCAGGAGGCTGAGAGCTGCGGATCGTGGTTCAAGGCCAGCCCGGGCAGGAAAAAAGTCTGTGAGCCTCTGATCTCCCATGAACCACCAAAAAACCGGAAGTGGCGCTGTGGTTCAAGTGGTAGAGCGCCAGCCTTGAGCAAAAGAGCTCAGGGACAGCGCCCAGGCCCTGAGTTCAAGCCCCACGACACAACAAAAAATAAAATATCAATATAAATAGCATCCTGAAGTGCTCATCCTGATCTCCTCCTCCTCCTCCTCCTCCTCCTCCTCCTCCTCTTTGCCCTACCTAGAACTTCCAAGGAGTGGTTACCCCCTCCCCCACCCCCCTCCCTCCCCCCCCCACCAAGGAAATATGCAAAGCCAAAGGGCCATTTCGCCATTCCAGAAACCCACATATCTTCTAGACTTTTCTGCGTCAGAGCACCCCAGCCTCTGAGCCAAAGTGGAGTGTTTTTAAATACCCTTTGACCTGTTAGTCCTGCAGCTGGAGGGAATCTCCAGGCTCAGAAGGAGAAGACACTCAGGAGGCTGAGATCTGAGGATCGTGGCTAGAGGCCAGCCCGGGCAGAAAAGTCCGTGAGACTCTTCTCTCCAATGAACTGCCGGGAAAAGCTGGTAGTGGAGCTGTGGTTCGGGGGGTAGAGCGCCATCACGGAGACTGGGGCCGCCCCCGGCCCCTTCGCTGGGATGGTAGGAATCTGCCACCCTACACGGCCTCCTGCGGCACAGGATGGTCTCCCAGACTTTTCCACCCGTTCTAACCGAGAACCACAATCCTCCCGTGTGAGCCTGTCTTACAAGCAGGCCCCGCACGCTGTGCATTTGTAAAGGGGGCTTTCTCCAACTTTCCTGTCTAGATTGGCCTCAAAACACGATCCTCCGCTTCTAGCCTCCCACCTTTTCTGCCTGGACTGGCCTCAAACCAGGATCCTCCCCACAGATAGGATTACACTGGCCTCACTGGCCTGTCAGCTCTTGCTAAAGAACCTAGGAAACTATTTCGTTTTGTTTGTGTGTGTGTGTGTGTCAGTCCTGGGGCTTGAACTTGGAGCCTGGGCGCCGCTGCCCCTGAGGGGTTTTCTCTCAAGGCTGGCGCTCTACCCCTTGAGCCACGGCTCCGCCTTTCAGCATTCTGGGCTGTTGGAGATAAAAGCGTCCCACGGATTTTCCTGCCCAGTGATCCTCCCGTGTCAGCCTCCCGAGTTAGCTGGGATGGCAGGCATGAGCACCAGCGCCCGGCTCACCTCCTCATTCCCATAGGGGCCCCGCCGAGCTCCCCTCGGATCCCCCTCATGCTGAACTCACTACAAGTGCCCTTAAGCCTCCCACGCTACCCGATGAAGTGGCATCATGCCTCAGTTTCCCCCTTCAGCAAAAAGACCCTGCGTGTCTCTGTCTGGGGGGGAGGGGGTCCCTGGCGGAGTCCTGGCACAACAAAAGTCAGGGCTCAGTTCCAGAGTTAAATACTGAAGCTTGATCGCTTTTTGTCCCCCTCGCTTGGCTTTGTATGAGATACCAAAGCTGCCGGGCGCTGTGGCTCCCGCCTGTCACCCCAGCCACTCAGGATGCCGAGATCCGAGGATCGAGGTTCAAAGCCAGCCCGGGCAGGAAAGTCTGTGGGACTCTGAGCTCCAATGGACCACCAGGAAACTGGAAGTGGCGCTGTGGCTCAAGTGGTAGAGCACCAGCCTTGAGCTGAAGAGCTGAGGAACAGCGCCCAGGCCCCGAGTTCAAACCCCAGGAGTGACACACACAAAGATAAGAAAAAAGCCAAGGCGTGGGGTGGAAATCCCAGTTCATGCAGCCCCGCAGGGAGCCTCCAAGCAGCGGGAAAGTCGGAGACTTGGCCCCAACCCCGCAGGGCTGGTTCAGTTCCCCAGCGGAGACCTGGCTCGCAGTTCACCTGAGCCCTGAAGCGGGAGAGAGTCGGGACGCGGCTCCCAGAGGCTCTCCCCCGGGAAGCCATCAGGAAAGCTGCCCCAAATCCCAGCTGCTCAGGAGGCTGAGCTCTGAGGACCGCGGTTCGAGGCCAGCCCGGGCAGGAAAGGCCCTGAGACTCTGATCTCCCAGGAAACCATCAGAAAACCGGCTCGAGGGGCAGAGCGCCCGCCCGGAGCGCCAAAGTGTCCCAGGCAGCGTCCGGGCCGCGAGTTCAAGTCCTGCCCGCACCCGCGTGCGCACGCGCGCCAGCCCCTCCCCCGGGGTCCCCCAGCTCACCTGCGTCCCCCGCGAGGCGCCGAGTCCACCTGCAGCCGGGGCTGGGGGGCCGGGGGCGCCCCGCGCTCAGGGCCCGGCGGCCCCCCGCATCCGGGGCGCGGGGCGGGGACGGGGGTCCCGCGGCGGGGGCGGGGGGCGACGGGGGGCCCAGCAGCGGGAGGCGGCCGGACCCCCACACGCTGCCCCGGCCGGGGGGGTCCCCCGGGCCTCCCCTGTCCCGGGCCGGGGGGGGCCGAGGAGACGGATCGCGGGGCGCGGGCCGATCGCGGGGTGCCGGGCCGGTCGCGGGGTGCGGGCCGATCGCGGGGTGCCGGGCCGGTCGCGGGGTGCGGGCCGATCGCGGGGTGCCGGGCCGGTCGCGGGGTGCGGGCCGATCGCGGGGTGCCGGGCCGATCGCGGTGTGCGGGCCGGTCGCGGGGTGCGGGCCGATCGCGGGGTCCCCGGCCCCGGGCTACGCCATGGCCGCGCCCCGCGGCCCGGCCGGGGGTCCCCGCCCCGCGCCCCGCGCCCCGGCCCGGCCTGCGCTGCGCGCGCCCCGGAGGCCGCGGCCGCCGCGCCCCGGATCCCGGCGCCCGGGGCGCCCGCGCTGACGCCTCCGCGGGGCGGGAGGGGGGTCCGGGGGGGGGATCCGGGGGGGGGGGGGTCGGGGCTCGGGGGCGCCGGCGGGGAAGCGGAGGGCCGCGGAGAGTGCGGCCCGGCCCGGGCTCGGCTCGGCTGCAGGCCCCGGCTCCGCCCCGGCCTCCGCCGCGCGCCGCCCCGCCCTCCGCCCCGCCCGCGCCGGTTAAGGAGGCCCGGGGAGCCGGGGAGCCTGCGCCCGCCGGCCGATCGCTGCGGCGGCCGGAGGATCCCGGGTCGATGGATCACTGGGTCGATGGCCGGAGAGATCCCGGAGCGATCGATCGCGGAGACGCCGCCCCGCCGCCTGGAGAGCGACGGTGGGATCCCCGGATCAATAGATCACTGGATCGATGGGTCGATGGCTGGAGCGATCCGGAGCGATCGATCGCGGAGCCGCCGTTCAGCCGCCTGGGGAGCGGATGGCTGGATCCCTAGACCTATGGGTCGATGGATCCCTGGATCGATGGATCCCTGGATCGATGGGTCAATAGCTGGAGCGATCCGTCGCGGAGACGCCGTCCCAGCGCCCCGCTGCTGCCTGCAGATGAATGGATGGATCCCTGGATCCCCGGATCGATAGATCCCTGGATCGCTGGGCCGCCAGGCGCCCACCCCCAGCCCCTCCGTGGCCATCTGCCGTCCGGCAGGTGCATTTACTCCACCCCAGCTCGCGTCTCGCCGGCAGCTCGGGAGAGGACCGGCCTGGGCCCCAAGAGCCGCGATCCTCCCGATCGCAGCCTCCAGAGCCATCCGCCCAGCCAGCTGCGGCCACCCTCACCCCAGATGGTGAAGGAATGCCAGCCGCTCGCGAGGATCCCGGTTCAAAGCCAGGCCGGTCAGACACATCAGAGACGCAACTCCAGATAAGCGATGAAAAGCCCCAAGGGAAGAGGTGGCTAACGTGGCAGGGGCCAGCGTGAGCGAAAGAGACAGGCCTTGAGTTCAAGTCCCAGTACCTCTAAAAATACACGGATGGATGTATACATTCATGTTTATATTCACATAGTACATGTCATATAACTTTATTCATCTCTTATTCTACATATAATTGTCTATAAATGTGTGTATATATGTACACACACACACACACACACAGTCCCTGAGCTCTTTCACTCAAGGCTGGAGCTCTACCACTTTGAGCCACAGCACCACTGCTGGTTTTCTGGTGGTTCATGGGAGATCAGAGTCTCACAGACTTTCCTGCCCGGGCTGGCTTTGAACCCTGATCCTCAGATCTCAGCCTCCTGAGGAGCTGGGATGACAGGTATGAGCCACCATTGCCTAGAACAATAGAGATAGATAGATGATAGAGAATGGATGAATAGGCAGATAGATAGATAGATACATAGATTGATTCTTGGTCCTGGGATTTGAGCTCAAGGCCTAGGTGCTATCCCTGAGCTTTTCCCCCACGGCTAGTCCTCTACCACTTGAACCACACCTCTACTTCCCGATTTTTGCTGGTTCTTTGGAGCTTAGAGTCTCCTATACTTTCCAGACCAGGCTGGCCTCAAACCTCGATCCTCAGATCTCAGCCTCCTGAGTAGCTAAGATGACAGGCGGGAGCCACCAGTACCTGCCCGGCTTATGTTCACCTTCAGAGAGCAAGATCTTTTGTCTTCCAGCTAAAAAGGCTTGGACTGTAGTCATTTAAATTACATGTGCCTATAACTACCTTACATCTGTAACCTGCCACACATTCTGAAATTAAGATAAGCAGTTGGTACCCGGGGCCAGAAGCTCTGCTATTATCCCATTAAAGCTGCAGACGCTGTGTCCACACAATGAGCTCACAGAACGCACACGTGGTCTGAGCCTTACTAGTACTATTAAAACCAAATAGCCCCTGGGGCTGGGCAGGTGGCTCAGGGGTAGCGTGCTGGCCTCGCATGCATGAGGCCCTGGGTTCGATTCCTCAGCATCAGAGACTCAGACAAAGCCAGCAGTGGGCGCTGTGGCTCAAGGGGTCGAGCGCCAGCCGGGAGCCAAAGCGGCTCAGGGACGGCGCCCAGGCCCTGAGTTCAAGCCCCAGGACCCGCACAGAAACACACAAGGCTTTTCACGTCTTCCGCGTTGCATTTCACACCTGAAGCCAAATGGGGGATCCCGGAGGATCCGCTGAGCCTGGAGGGGCGCGGCCTCCCCGAGGCCCCAGGCCCCAAGTTCGGCTCCACCTTAAGCAGCTGGGGGGGGGGGGTGTCTCCCCCAAACCCCGCGGCTCCGCCCACCCCGGTCAGCTGCGCCTGGGATGGGGGGCGGGGCCTCCAACGGAAAGATTGATGCGGGGACCCCCCCCCCCCCCCGCGATCGCCCTCACCCCGGAATTCTAGGCGGGCTCCGGGGCGCCCCCCTGGGCCTGGGGCTCCTTCCCCGCGGGGAACGCGGGAGGATCCGGGGGGCGCTGCCACCGCGAGGGGCACAGTCCGCAGCTCCGCGGGTTCGGGACCCGCGTCGGCGGCCAAGTACTTCCCCCAACCGGGGGGGGGCGAGTTGTTTCCAGTCTCCGCCTCCTCTTCGTCGTGATTGGTTGGCTTCGGAGTGGGCTGGGCCCCATCCTGATCGTGGATTGGCCGCGCCTGTCGTCGATCACGCGATGACGCACGAGGAGGGTGGGCACTGCCGGGTGCTGGGAGGAAGTGGAGGTTATTTTGGTTCCGCCCACATACACACACACACAACTCCTGATTGGCTCCTCCTCGCCGTGACGCGGCGGGAGGCGTGGGATCGCATTGGATGACGTCTCGGGCGGGACTTCCGAGTGGCGGCCGGGGATTTGACGGACAGCGCCTGTGGAGCGAAACCCGGAAGGGAGTGAGCACCGGACTTGGCGGGAAACCCGGGGCTCCGCGCACCTTCCCCGGCCTGCCGCAAGGCCACTTCCTGCGGGGACCCCCGAGTCACCCCGGCTTCCTGCACCACGTGATCATCGCCGCCCGGAGGATGGAGGATGAGGATGGAGGATGGAGGATGGGGATGAGGATGGACATGGAGATGGAAGATGGAGGATGAGGATGGAGATGGAGGATGGAGATGGAGGATGGAGATGGAGATGGAGGATGAGGATGGAGATGGAGATGGAGGATGGAGATGGAGGATGGAGATGGAGGATGGAGGATGGAGATGGAGGATGAGGATGGAGATGGAGGATGGAGATGGAGGATGAGGATGGAGATGGAGGATGAGGATGGAGATGGAGATGGAGGATGGAGATGGAGATGGAGGATGGAGATGGAGGATGGAGATGGAGGATGAGGATGGAGATGGAGGATGAGGATGGAGATGGAGATGGAGGATGGAGATGGAGATGGAGATGGAGGATGGAGATGGAGGATGAGGATGGAGATGGAGGATGGAGATGGAGGATGGAGATGGAGGATGAGGATGGAGATGGAGGATGGAGATGGAGGATGGAGATGGAGGATGAGGATGAGGATGGAGATGGAGATGGAGGATGGGGATGGAGATGGAGGATGGAGGATGAGGATGGAGATGGAGGATGGAGATGGAGATGGAGGATGAGGATGGAGATGGAGGATGAGGATGGAGATGGAGATGGAGGATGGAGATGGAGGATGGAGATGGAGATGGAGGATGAGGATGAGGATGGAGATGGAGGATGAGGATGGAGATGGAGGATGGAGATGGAGGATGGAGATGGAGGATGGAGGATGGAGGATGGAGATGGAGGATGGAGATGGAGGATGGAGATGGAGGATGAGGATGGAGATGGAGATGGAGGATGGAGGATGGAGATGGAGATGGAGGATGGAGATGGAGGATGAGGATGGAGATGGAGATGGAGGATGAGGATGGAGATGGAGGATGGAGATGGAGGATGAGGATGGAGATGGAGATGGAGGATGGAGATGGAGGATGAGGATGGAGATGGAGGATGGAGATGGAGGATGGAGATGGAGATGGAGGATGGAGATGGAGGATGGAGGATGGAGGATGGAGATGGAGGATGAGGATGGAGATGGAGGATGGAGATGGAGATGGAGATGGAGGATGAGGATGGAGATGGAGATGGAGGATGGGGATGGAGATGGAGGATGGAGGATGGAGGATGAGGATGGAGATGGAGGATGGAGATGGAGGATGAGGATGGAGATGGAGGATGAGGATGGAGATGGAGGATGGAGATGGAGATGGAGGATGAGGATGGAGATGGAGATGGAGGATGGAGGATGGAGATGGAGGATGGAGGATGGAGATGGAGGATGGAGATGGAGGATGAGGATGGAGATGGAGATGGAGGATGAGGATGGAGATGGAGATGGAGGATGAGGATGGAGATGGAGATGGAGGATGGAGATGGAGGATGAGGATGGAGATGGAGGATGGAGATGGAGATGGAGGATGGAGATGGAGATGGAGGATGGAGGATGGAGATGGAGGATGAGGATGGAGATGGAGGATGGAGATGGAG